TATATAAATAAAGGAATGAACCTACACTCACTTCGGAATTACGCAATGATCTATTGACAAGCACGACTGATTAGTTCCTCGTGTTCTCAAATATAATTAACATCGTTGCCTATTCATAAAGTTCACTCGGTAGTAGTATTAGATGTAGGTCTCCTACAAAAACATACGTCTGCAGTTTTTGCTCCGGAATGAGACAGGAAGATGTAACAGCTAACTAGTACGACAGTGTAATGAGCGCGAAGATTGATTTGCGAGGTCTTCCTACACGTAAGATCTTTAAGAAAATGAAAGAAGGAATCTTAGAGAATAAGATTTTGCGAATGTTAAGGAAATGGTAAAATTTTAAACCATTTGTTCTGTTTAATGTGAGCGACTCAGATTAATGGTGTGATTAAGTAAGTGTTGAATAAATCTTAAAATTGCTAACTCAGTCAAGAATGCAACTTCAAGGTTTGAGAAGATATTATTTGGGTATATAAAATAAAAATATATAAAAACAATGGAAAAAATATAATGTTTATAACATGAACACGTTTGTAATCGAACGTCACAAACGCTCAGCACTAGAAGCCTACATGATACACAATACAGAGAAGTCCGTCGGGATTTATGCCGCACTTTGATGTACTTTCAGCGTTGCCGATAACCGCTTTATCGATTCGACTGAGATCGGTGCCAAATACTACGTAAATAATCTATTTACGTAGTATTTTATGTAATATGGTACTTTATAAAGGATTACCATCTACACCTCCCTCGATAGAAATGGTTTTCCACTTCCACGTTGAAACTGGGATGAATTAATTCATTGCATTGTGCTAAGCGCGGGAGAAAGTATAAAAAAGGTTTCGCCAAGGCGAGGCGAAGAATTCGGATTAATTACTTCGTTCCTCTATAAATAAAAGAAAATTTAAAAATACATATATATATTTAGATAATACGTTATTAAAATATTGCCTGGAACCGACGAGATCTGCACAAATCCAAAAAGACCTTTCAAATACGTTTTATGAATATGTTTGTATGCAATAAATATGTCTGTGTGTACGTCAGGAATCACGATACACTAAAGTTAATGACCGGAGTAATCACGGCCATAAATTAAGCTGGCTATTTATGTAAGCCGGTCCATAAACTGATGAAATCAGCTGTGATCTTATGAACTCAATTAGGAACCAGGCTTGTTTTAAAGTATATTGATGTGAGCACTAAAATTATTTCGGATTTCCGCGCGCATTCAACGTCAATCGAATATAGAGTCAAGTAAAAGCAATTTTTTGTCTCAACTCCGTTTAGAAACAGTAATACGATAGCGGAAATAATTCCACGCTTCGCTCGCGCCAAATTTAATGTTCCACATTCGTGTATATGTATGTACTAGAAACTAGAGTGTAGAACACTAAAAAATGTTAGAGCTAAATATAGTATTGCCCCACATTTTAAACTGAAAGATTTTAAACGAGTACCTTTTATAAATTCTTGGACTTCCCTCTCTTGTCAAAAGCTGTTTCTTAAATTATTGCGATAGACTTTAAAACAAATGATCTTTTGTCATAGCTCATAACACAAAAATGTTACGCAGAGTTCAAGGCAAGAATGTTATAGCTATGTAGCGTGTGAGACGCGAGGTTATAATTCAAATTACTAATGGGTTTAAGGGTTATTAGAACTAAAATAAAAAATGTAACACGCAAATTTGTCTGTCACTGCTAGAATTATTGCTCTGAGGGAACACTGGTTGAGAGAATTATCAAACAGAAAGTATGGTTTAACTACAAACACTATTTAAAGATAAGACCGATGAAGTGTTTTGGGAATAGTGTACGGTAGGTAGGTATTCGGTACAAAACATTATTCATGTATTGAATCTGGGATTGTATAAAGTTCAAAATTAGGATATTTGGATTTTTTTTTAAATTGGTCGACGATCATAGTAATACCTCCTCACGTTAACGCAACGCTTGTCTTTCGTTTGCAAATAACAATAAATTTATATTTTAACATCCCCTAACAAATGTTAGACTTCTTTGACATTAACAGTGATCGTAATTTTCTACCTACTTCTGCGGCAATGCAGTTTGCCTTCTTAACGGCATATATTTACAAACATAGGCCTCGTCCTTACAATAGTACTCGCGGGAATGGTGTCTTATGTGTCATTGCTTATACAGTAAATAATAAACATGAGTTATATTAAATATGTTATAACATATGTAGGTAGATCATAAGTCAGTACATAATAGGCAGGTAGGTGTTAAAATTAATTAATCCACAAAATTGAAATAATAACCAATAACACATTCGAAACACAGACGAATATAGACTAGGGTGAATTAATAATTTCAAAATCTGAAACGCGGATGTGGGGTTAATTGCGTTATTCCGTTAATAGAGCTAGTTAAGGGTGGATTACCCTTTCGCGTGAAATTTGAATCGAGTCCTTCAGTATAATACACGAGGAATAATATATAATAAAAAAAGGAAATACACATGTATTCTCCTTATAGCCACACGAAATCAAATTAAAATTATTTTTAAAACTGTTGATTGGTAACGCACGTAAGAAGATCCAGGTTGAACCCTGGATTTACTAAAATGTAATAGAATTGAAGACGCTAGAACTAACTTATCGTCTGTTTTCGATAAACTACGTAATTTAAATCTATTTGCAATTGCAAAACGTCGATACGGAGCTTACTACGGAGGTGGAAATAGCAATATTAAGCAGAAACACGTGGAACATCAGTTTCCGTGTGAATTGTAGGTGAACGACAATTTGTATTCAGTAGTCTTATTATTTATTTCTTTGAACTCCACTAGTTCAATTGGTTATACTAAGTTAACTTCATTAAATAAAAAAAGAACCATCCGACTTGTGTCAGCCGAAACCGTTTACTCCTACTGCGAACAAAGGACCTCTCGCGCTTAATGGACTAGCCACGGCGTATAACCACTGAGCCATAACTCTACTAAATCTCATCTCAAAAAAGATGAACGTAAAAAATCAAGATGTAAAGCACAAAAGTGTACGGTCATTAATAAATAACCATCAATTACAAGTTAATGCTAATGGCAGACATAAACGTCGATCTAGTGAATAGTGACGATACAGTCTGTCGACGAACAACAGTTGTGAAAAATAATAGGGTTTATTGAGCACTCGCAAAACAGTAGATGGAAAAAGTAGCACGAAATAGTTACACGATTGATAGACTTTTATCTTTTCAGTTGCAACTCGACAACAAATGTCCAATTTTTATTTGATACCTAAAATCAATTCTTTGGACAATCACAGATTATTTAATAAATACTATTTAACCAAAAAAAATTTGGATATTGTATATAAGTTCTATTGGCAATGTTTTTTTAATATTTTCCATATAGTTAAAATATTTCCGTACGCTGTAGTGACAGTAAACTTAAAATGTAAATGTCTGTGATAAAAATACAGCGTCGAAAGCGATCCCGAAATACTCAGAGAACTTCGACTTCTAAATTATTACATCTCCGAGCCACCTGCACATTATCACAGTTCAGGTAAACAGCGAACATACAGACGGAACACCTACGAAAAACGTGAAATACAAATTTTTAAATTTAAGCTTTTTTTCTTGTTTTTTTTACTAAATGTTACCAAGTAAGTATAATAATTTAATTTTTACGTTTCTTTTACAAAGAGTTTTATAATGTAAATAAGAATAGGGGTAAATATTCTACATTATTCTATAAGATCCAGGTGACTCTTAATGTGTTTTGTTATATTTGTATTCGTTTGTAGAGTATAAATGAGTACCTTAATAAATTACAGATTTAAAGCTTAATTTTATATTAAGATACTTTAAAATGATTGTATTAAATCACTGTTAACTGCTGACATATACTATATTTCTAAAGTATCACAATGTACCTATGTTGTAGTAGTTCTTGTAGACGAAGAAAGTGGACTATAAGGTAGCAGTAATATGTTTGTTATTTCTTGCATACCAAATTAATTTAAAATAATAAAATTTAAATATGATTATTTAATCAAATTTCTTAAATGTCGTTCGTGGTTCTACACAATAGTAATATGGTAGTAGATAGCGTCTCTATAGAATTTTTATTTGAGGTCAGCGCCATCTTGTACGAACACATTAAACGCGCTTTCGTTAGTTGAGACAGAGTGTTTATGTTAGTTTATAGTTCTGTTGACAGATGTCAGACTATACCCTAATATTGAAGTGCAAATCGAATTAAATTTTTCACGAATTAATTAATATAATCTATAATTTAACAGTACCGACGAGTAAAGATTTAAAAACAAAATACTTAAAAAATTTACGAATTTGAAAATTACTTTTACGAATTTTACGAAACGAAATTTGATGGACTATTCCAGATTAAAGATAATAATTAAATGCAAACACATGTCGCTACTACATTATTTAGGTATCCAATAAAGCTTTTATCCGTTTATCGAAATCTATAAATATGAGTGTGAAGGTCAAGATGAAATTTACACGAAAACGTAACAGGCATGGTAAGCGAGTTAAAGCAGATGTAGAGATTCTGGCTTGCCATAAAAATGTTTATAGATATACAATCGTAAATTTTTATTGTATAAAGTCAAGACACATACAAAGTCGATTTTGCTAACATATTTACAACTTCTTTTTCTTTTTTTAACGTAGAGAAATTAAAATAAAACATTGCTGGACAGTAAAAATGACGGTTCATCGAACAGTCTACCGAATCAAGGAATAAGTTTACCGCTGAAATAAAAAAATAAAGTTAAGTAGAAAATGGGACTGTTTCTTTTTAAGCATAAATGCTACTTATATAGCGCAAGTCGCGAAAGCGCACATGACTAGCGCCACCTAAAGGGCGCCCGCTGAAAGTATACCTTTCAGGAATTTCAGTGTGCAACTCAGCGCGACGTTGCCATGACAACGCAGCAGCGGCCGATGACCCCGCCGTCGCGACGTCGTCCTGTATTTTATTTGTAAACAAGTAAAACCTATTCATAGCCCTGGAGTGACGGACTCCATCTCGACATCCCGATGGATCATGTCGGGTGACGATGTGGGATAACTGAGTGCAATATTCGTTAATGTAGTGCGCCGTGGAGTGAACATAAGAGGAGCGACGACGCGGGATATCACGGTGAGGCTCAACGCGAACTTTTTTCCATAACTTGCCATATTTCGTATTGCTTTACGAGTATAGTGATAGTAAATTGGTATTAAAAAGGCAGTCATTGTTTTACGTGTCACTATAGTCCAGACATTTCTGTTTCGTTGATACGTGAAATTCTCATTGCGTACGGATTGGTATTTCGTGTTGCATTCAATGGATAGATAAACTATATTACTTAATAATTATTATTTATTAGTTTGCGTTAAAAGAGATATTCTTTATGATATACACACATTCTAGTATATCGCTTCTCTTAGCTGGTGATGCACAAGCCTCCAATTTGACAAGCACAAATTGTATACAATTACTAAGCCAAAATTTTAAATCGTTTGAAACACATTGAATTTAGAGGTTTGATTTTTTATTAGCCTCTTTGAACAATGTTTTCAACTAAATAATAGAAACAGCTACTAAAAATTGTATACATCACTAGGTCGGATTTTATTATTATATGTAAAAACGAAATATTTTTTGTAATATCTTATGCACAATATTTTGTAATACAACATAAAGCACGTGGTCGAGCAAACAATGGCTTTATAGCTTGTAAGGTCACATACTTGAGTCAGTGGCTTACAATTGTTTACTTTGAAAAGTGGGTCATCCCATATACAGCGACTGCGGCGACCACCAGTCTAATATGATCACACCTTTATCCGTTCCACCTATATCTATTGTACCAGAGGGCATATCGCGAATGAGAGAAAGGGACGGCGATGTCTGAAGGTTTGACTCGAACTGATATGACGGCGATATCGCCGCGCACGGCCACTTGTTGGTTTGTTGGTGTCTATTTAATTAAGTAGCCCGGAAGAAGCTAGATAAACTTACGAGACGTGACCAATGACAGCCTGGCAATTGACTAGTGTGAAATAGCGCAGCTATATCACATCTAAACGACACAACAGATACGCTGTTGCCTCGGTGGCGCTCTGTATACGAAATTGTAATCTCCTACAGTCGAATAAATATTTATTCGTAATTATTATCTATCAAGCAAATTTAATGTAGGGTACATCTTGCTCTTTGTTCTTGAAAATTGGTTTATTGAAACAATGATTCAAGTTCAACGTTCAAGTTACGGAGGACACGAAGGTAGCTGGGTCTAAGCTTTTTTTTAAATGACATACGATATAGAGAATTCATTTTCATGCAATTATTGACAATAACTAGTTTGGTGACTCATTCAAGTCTCTTGCATTTTACCACAATGGAGGTCGTTATACCTGCATTGCAGGTATAACTAATCTGTGAGTACACAGATAATATTCTGAATTGTCCTATTCCGGGAAAGGAATTAAATCGACAACAATTCCAATTATGTTGTATAATCTACTTCAAATTCTGCTTAGCGGGACTTTATGACTCTCAATAAAGAGTGGATAGCAGTAACTACTGACAAACAACGGACGTCAGTAATTATAATGAGGAAGGCAGACGTGAAGGCTTGTGGGGGCTCCGTGCAGCCGGATCGATGTTCGCTTGTAATTACGAGCCCTCGCCTCTTAGCGCTCTGCCCTCGCAATAATGATTTACGTATTACGTATACTACAATTATTTCCTGCTATTTTAAATATATGTGATATATGCCAAAATTGAGATTTATTATTATGCTCTTATTCATTGACATAATTATACCCTTAATAATATTACGTCTTACCTCGTACGTTGAGCAAACGCTGATAGCTAAAATAATTTTAAACACTAGCACTAGATTCTTGTTTATGTATATACCTATAGTGTTTAGATTATTAATTTAGCCATTTTTATCACAATTTAGTAAAGGTCTATTGGCAAAGTTCTTCTTCGCATGGGTAACACACTGTAGTAGTCTGAGTGTGACGTCATAGCGCGACCCGCGACCTGCGACCGCTAACCTATGACCCGTGACCGCGGCTGTTATCAACGTTATCGTACGTTGACCTTAAACCCTAGATTTGTGTCCTTTTAATAACCTGGTTGTTTGAGATTCCATCTGGTCTAGATTTTCCTTCCGCCTTGTTTTATCGAATACTAGCACATCCCGCGGTAACCGCGGTTTGTTAGTTACTCAAACAAGTTAATAGTACCTATCTCCGATTACTAAGTACAACATTACCTAAATGGTAACCTTTAAACGATAAGTTTCCTACCTTTTAAACGATAAGTGTTTTGTGAACTCTGCCCCTATGGGATTATGGGACAAGTCCTAAAAAATAATGAAACAATAGTGCCTGACATTTACCTGTAACCAGAATAATTTAAATAAACGTTATATTAGGAACAGAAACCTTTCCTAATATTAAGCAAGAAATTTGTTACAATCATTTCTAAAATCCTATAAGTAGATATCAAATTAACTGAATATAGAAAGGCAATTAGCAATTAGCGCGACTTTATCTGGGGACACAGTTGTTGTTATCATTAGGTCTGTTATCAGCTACGACTTTTGAATTTATCACTCGTGTAGTGCAGTGGAAATACTAACACACGTGAAAGTAAGCGATAATCTTTACACTTTTCTTTGTACCTACTGTAAATCCTGCATCTGGCAAACGAGTAAGACTTCATTGTCAATCGGGAAAAATAGTTGTGATAAAGTAAATTGTATTGCGGTCATTTAATTGCAGTGACATACATACATATTTTTATCAGTGTGAATAAGTATATTATAAATGTGTATAATATAGTGATAAAGTGAAAGTATATTTAGTTAGTTGTGGTAAGTAAATTTGAAGTAATTTTATTTATTTGTAAACAAATTACTATAACGCTTAATTAATCTGATTGCCTTTTATCCCAAGAAAATGAAATAAGATATTGCAGATTTTTTTTAAATAAAACGTAAAGCGCATGTTATCTTTGAAGCCAGATCTATCTTTTTTATTTACTTTAACTTTAAAATCATAAAGATTGTATTTGGCGCCAGCTGGAAATCAGCTGTTTATCATGAGCTGGTAGTTTGTGTAATCTGTAATGTACTTCGGGATTAGCCGGCGCTCTGGCACGTCGCTCGACAATCACTCGCAAGACCACCTTGCACCCTGTTACACGCCATTGCTAGCAAGCGCACCAACGTGCAATGATCGAAGGCAGTGCAGTGTAAATAGTGACACACGAATCTTAAGGAAGCTCTAGCCCTCAAAACGTAAGTTTTTTTTTATAATTTTTTATGTCATTGCCAAATATTTGGACCGCAGACAAAAGCTTGAATGAGCATGTTTTTGTTTATTTCCTTGTGGAATTAAATGACTATTTTAAATATTATATTATCGAATAAGTAGTAGTAATAAGTTCAAAATCAGCACATACTCAACACACATGTCAAAATAATGTAAATATCATGTAGAGGATAAAAATAAACAAGTATAATATTGTCGAAAATCTCATAACGTAGTCGAGGTTGATCATTTTTGGTTTACAAATATAGAACGGATTACACGCCACTATGTGCCAATTATGTGCAGATATATATATAAACAATAGGCATAGACTGAAAGAAAGGAGCCAAATCAACCTACAGTACTGTGTAACACGGTTCACAACTGTCAAGTCTTGCACCAGGCAGTAATAGGAAACTTCGATATCAAAATACACGTGTTCTCTTTAAAGGAATAGGTACACTAGACATAAAGGTATTCTACACACAATACTATTATCCTACGCACAGTTCTCTCTACATTAAGTTATTAATTATGACGATAAGTAAAATGTTGCTTCCTCAACGTAGGGCATAGGTCGGAAACATGTCAGTTCTATTTTATTTACAGACAACAAGTTGAACTGAACTCATTGAATTATATACTATAATATGAACCCAAGAACTCGTGTGTCCATATGCAATGGCTATACATTAAACCACTCAGCCATGTTTAGCATTATATTAGAGCGCTGCAAATACGATTACCTAGTACTTACATTATGTATGTATTATTAATAAACCCGGGACGACTCTCTTTACCAACTAGTCTCCAGTTCTATAATTGAACGCATACGCATGAGAAATCTATAATATGTACATAAATAAGTACCAACAAGTTCAACAACTGCTGATGGAAATTTATCATCAATGTTATGGTTATACGAAGGGCAGAAGTACCCTCTCAAAAATTATAAATGCTTCTGAACTCAACGAGCTTTGAACGCAACAATTGCTGTTTTATTAAGTACCTACCTTGATTCTTTTGTCTCAAAAATCGTACTCCGTTTCTGCTTTTCGCTGAGCGTTTTAAACAAAAATACTTTGTTCGTTTTGAATTCATTGTGTTTTGAGGCATAATAAAGTCTGTTTTAAACTATTACCAACAACATTGACCATAGTACTCATTTGTTATATTATCAAACAATTAATAGCCCTTTACGACGACAGGACAATGTCAAGCAATCATAAGTAAATAGTAAATACCCAAGTGCTATTTCTTACTTTATGTGTAAATCACGATCCCTCAGTAACGAAATAAGGAATCTTCCAACGTGTTAATTTACTTGCATAAATAAACTATAGAGTAAAATGAAAATTTTATTTTTCACAATTAGCGTATGAAAGGCAGCTTACAAACAGTTACTTAAAATTAATTCTTTTAAGCTAAATCCTTCCTCAAGCAATGTATTGTCTCCATTCTAAAAGGACAACTATTTTCTAACCTACCTTACCCTACTGACGGGTTACCTACGAGCGTTGACATTTTGCACAGGATCGATAACTTAGCCACATTAAAACAATATTCATCTACCCTGTTTAATTTCACGTGGACACGCAACTTTAAGGAAAAGTTTGTCGACTCTCAGCTTGTTGGCTGTTAATTAAATATTTTTCTGTTGATAAGGAAATGTGGAAGCTCCCAATAAGGCAATTCTTAGAACTATATCTTCAGATTTACGGGTATACTCGTACATAAACTTACTTTGGGTTTTACTAGCCCAACTATAATAACAACGTCATAATAACAGTGTCTCTAATAATAATTGTCACTCGTTATTATTCGCGAATCGACCTTGCGTGAATCATCGTCTCCGTATTTATAGAATTAGGTATATATTTAATAAGCCGTTTCGGTCATTTTAAGTAAAACATACTAAGATATATTACTTTTTTCAGCTTAGGTGCAGCTAAGCGTGCTAACTTAATAAGATGTGCGTGTACATTGTAAAACATCCTTCTAAATACATAGATCGTACACTTATGATCTAAATCGTGTATTACGTTTAGAAGGATAAATCAAATCACACGCACTTCATCTATTTTCAATCGACCTTCGCCTTACTCACTCGCTAATCTTACCGAAACGCTACTATAAAAGTGTAGTAATAGTCAGACAGGTCCTCGAATTTATTCTACTGGGCACATTAATTTAAGTATAGATATGATTTTTACGAGTTATGCTTTGTCTGCGCCCGACTTACACTCGACTATTTTTTGAAATCGAAATTGCAACATGAGACACAGTTTTAGTACCCGCGGCAAAAAACGGTATTTAATAATAGTTAATTTTTACAAGATAAAGTACGTTTTCGTTAATTAATTTGTTTTGCTTAGTATAATTCAATGAAATCGAATCCAATAATTTGTGGTATTCGCTTTTATCAATTAACGTGAAATAATCCCGCGAACGAGCGTCATCGGCCTTATTATATTTGGAGCAAAAACAAAATAGACGTGTTTTCCTCAAGGTTGCATCGAAACTTATAATAACCACTGTTTTCACGCTACCTACATCTTTAAACTTAGTATTATGTGGCTAATCATTCAAATAGCGGGGCACAATAATTGCCTAAATACCCTACACATTAAGTGTACAATAATTACCTAATATCAAAAATCAAATTTAAAATGCGGCTGTTTTCGAAAATCATCGTTGGCAGTTGTCAGCTTTTACAGAGCGTTACATCATAAAATAGCACAGAGAGGCCCAAATTAGTCCAATGCCATTGATACCAATCAAATGCGTTATAAACAAAGTGCATTATTGACAAGGCGTGCATTTAGCGAGAAATCGGCTTAACGCGTTGCTTCTGTTACAAGATTACACTTTAATCGAATATTAACCTCTGACCAGCGTCACGTCCCTTGGCACTGCTTATTTTATAGGTTAGGACACCACTATTAATTCGACTGTTTCATAGTTAGATGCTTAGGTTTTCGTATGAATTAATTAATTTAAAATTATAATGCGATGCGACGATGCGAGTCCTTGTTGATTATGCATATCAGTTGATGCGCATCTATCGATGGGCGACAGGCGGACAGGCTTGCGATCCTTATGACTTGGCAAGACGCGACGGTGTGTCTACTAAGCCACGTACTTACAACTAAGAATACGTAATATATTGGAACTTATAATTAGGAACGTTTGGTAAACCTTAAATGCCTTTAACGTGTAATATTGAAGTCCGCAGACTTATGGAAATAGTTGTTATTGGCAGTATATGTCTGCTAGCAGTATTTTGTTTTGTCATATTTAATACCCATTTAGCATATGGCGATGACAGTAAAAGATCCGATCTACTAACTTAATTATCTAAGCTCTAATAAAAATGCATGCCTGTGTTGTGACCCCATTTCACCTGATGATAGAACTTTATCTTAAAACGCCATTCTATTGTTTTAATAATCTAATCACGAACACTTAATAATCAAAAGAAATAATTACAACACCTCCATAAAATAAGTAAAAACCTAATTGTCGAAAGGTTCACAAAATCGTGGCGTCACATAGATAATAGACTAGCACAGAGTGATCTTGGCCTATTTTAAAATAACAATAGTAATTTTTTTTGCAACTGGCCGAAATGGTAAACCATTGGTATATGTAAATTAGTATGTAGATCACATATTATTTCGTAATTATAATGTTTTTAAACACCGTTATAGATTCTTCCGAATAATCATAATTATGTATTGCAATCTTCAGTTCACTACATGTAATTGTAAAAAAAATATTATTGGTTAAAAAGGTATTATTCAGGAACCGCTTTAAAAATAATAAATGTGGCGATAAAAGGAGTGGCAGCGAGTTCCTTGTCAGTTCTTTTCATTCGTTCTACGCTCTTGATTTAAGAACTGGTAGTAAATGTAAATTTAGTGTTAAGTTTTTAACAGGTGATACATTCATAACTGTAGTGCTCATGTATGTGATGTAAATTGCGTTGCCTACTATTGTAAAAAAGGGCAAACCTTGGAGAAATTTTCGGCGGGCAGAGCATACGGGAAAACGGGACTTCTTACGAGTGCTCACGTGTCCCACATCGTGGGTTTCTATGTGACTAATTAATAGAACGTTGTTTTACATGTATTATACATTGTCTACAAGACGAGTATATTAATAGAGCAGCCTTAGTGGGCAGAGTATTTCCTGTGTTTGACCGCAACATTTTTTTAGAAAATAGTGTCTTACATCGTTAATATATCCTTATATTATGCAATATACTAATCTACGTGTCAACAGTTTGGTTGTTGCTGGTTTAATCTTTATCGGTCGTGTAGAGTACGATTACTATGAGATTACCAGAGCTTTCTGCGTATTGAATAACATTACAGTATAAATTTATTTAATTATTCTAAATTCGCTTTTTATAAGCTTTTTAAAATCTGCGTCTAATGATTTAAAAATTATTTGTGTAAGACTAAACTGGTAAGAAACCAATCAGTGCAGTGCATTTGATTGCACCCAAATTATTTAAATCTGTGCGTTTATACGCGCGATAAGAAACCACAATTAATATTAATATAAATAGCTCTATGTTTTCCCGCAACAATATTTAGAGGGAATTCCTCGGCAAATTTTGTTTCCCTAAGTGTGGTTTATATTGGCATGGGACGATATTGAAGGTGTCATTGTATCGGCAGGAGCTCGTAGCGATGGTGTGACGGCGGAAGATGATCAGAGATTTTATTCGCAACAATGGCTCCAGACGCGGAGGACTGTGGGGAGGTAGGTTTATGCTGTTACTGAATTATGACTTTTATTTTTACTTATTTCTAATTGACGGCTTTTTATATTATATTCCTAGCGTCGCATTAGCGTAATATGTCGTTAGGTTTTTACGAGGTTGTTTACAAAAATCGTTTTATAATCGTCAGGTGGAAGCACTAAATGGGCCTTCAATTGCATACGAACCTGTACCGATACATCAGGGAAGGAGAATCATTCCCGAAGAAGCAGAACCAGCACAGGCCTGGATCGAAAGCGATTATCCCAACCCCGGAAGCGATAGCAGGACCAATAGTCCCGGAGAGAACCGAAGACTTCTCGGTAACAAACCGCAAAAGACTGGTTTACAAGCTGGCCTCACTTTAGGAGTTTGGAAGCAATCGAAATGTTCTCTGAGCAAGACTGTCAAAATAAAACCTCGAGTTAAGACGAAGTTCCAGAAAAGAAAAGAGAAGCTAATCGAAGCTTTGAGGCCGCCTTACTTCATTATCAGCATTATTATATTCATAGTAAGTATGATAAAGGACGACACACAAACAAGGTTCACTTGATATTCGGTGAAATAGCCAAGCCATATAACACCTAGACAAGATGCGCTTACACTTCGCGGAATTTTCATTCTACCAGACATTTAAAGTCTGTATCGCAAAAACAATAATACGTATGATAATAAATATGACTGTTTTCAATTTTAATATCGATATCAATTCGTTTGCTCAGGTATTATTGCACTTATGTGGTCCTGAGGAGTGGCGTGCTTGGCTAGAATGGTCTCCGGGAGCTTGGTGGAGGGAGCCGTGGAGGTTGTTCACCTATGGCTGCGTGCACGCAGGCACTGCTCACCTCGCTATAAACGCACTCGTCGCTCTAGCTGTAAATATTTACACATAACATATTTATATGTCTTATTTTTTTATATTACACTTTTGCTTTATAGTTTTGTTTTTCCCTTTACCCAGGTAGGATGGAGGTTGGAACGAGAGCAGGGATGGGCCCGCGTGGCAGCAATCTGGTGTGGAGGTGTAGCAGCGGGCGCCCTGGGTGCCGGCGCACTGCAACCGCGAGTGCGCGTCGTTGGTGCCTCAGCAGCGGTGTACGCATTGCTCACCGCCCATCTCCCTAACGTGTGTCTTAGGTAGGTGATAAACAAATATATACGATTCACAGAAAAAATCAGCAAATTTTCACGACTCCCGTCTATAGACAACACGGAAATCATTTAATCGCCATGTTGTAATTTTATAAATTACAACATGGCGATTAATTTACTTATTAATTTCATCGCGTTTTGTTTTAGGTTCGGCCATATACCCCTATGGTGGTTTCGCCCTCTCAGCGTGGTAGTGCTCGGCGCTTCTGAAGGATGCTGGGCCTTGCTGCGAGCACCAGACGCTGGCAACTATAACAATCATGTGGCCTGGGCTGCTCATGTTCTGGGCGCCGCTGTCGGAGTACCTCTCGGGTTCCTCGTGTTTAACGGTGTGTATAATAAATGAAATGTATAGATATTATGTAAAATATATATAATATAATAACGTATGACTGAAACTTCGGCTTCGGCTCCTGAGAGCCAAGGACGGAAATTAAAATTCAGTTCAAAGCCTTATTTATATAAAGATTAGAAAGTATTGTTTAATGAACGTATTTAATTAATGTGCAGGTGAGAATAGCACTGAGCGTCGGATGGTGTGGTGCAAGATAGCGTCAATGGGGGTCGTAGCGTTAGGCGTTGTAACTGCGGTCACTCATTACGTGTTTTGGTACGACGTCGACCATTTTACTTGAGGTCGGTCCTCCCTCCTAGCGCTTAGGAGGATGCACTACAGTACTTAAAACAGAGGACCTGGATCTCTCTATTAGTTGCCTAAACTATTGTTGATGATCGGCGATACTTACTTTTACCAAGTGATCAAGATAACAATCAAAAGGCGATAACAATGAACTTACGAAGTATTTAGAGATAGTTTATCAGGCAGAATATCTCTTTGAACATCGTAATCGTTTGTTTTTTGTGGGCTAAGGCTGTGTATAGTATTTTCGTTAACTAAAGATATTGATGTACAAAATTGACGTGTTCACTTCTTTTGATACGCAAAGTTAACATACAGGATAACGCACAACAGTCTTCCTTTATTATAAGATTTATGGCCCATTTTGTAAATATTATCGATTTATCACCGAGTTTTTGATGGGTAAATGTGAGTGAGTTAGATTTATGTCTAAGCCTAATGTATCTCTAAAAGAGATCGCGTGTGATATTTTGACTGTAATATTTTGTATTACTTAGTATAATACGCTGGGGGACGTTTCATATCGATCAAAAAATATGTATTACGGCTTGTAAATATATTTACAAAAGTACAAGATGCGAGCATCCAATCGACATATTGGCGTAAGGAATTGTTGACACATTTTAATGGCATTATCGTATAGTTACCAAGTTATATTTAAAAATCATATGTTACCGTGTCTCTTTAATGTAGTCTTAAGTCAAAATATGAATGAAGCAAGATAATAATTATTATTATTGCGTTATGAACATAACCATGTGACGTCATTTATATTAAGTGTTTAGTTAGGTTTATTATAGCTCAACTCCACAATCTCAATCATTTCAACAAATTGAATTACTAAATAACTGCAATACTTGCGCAGACTTAAGGATTATTGAAATTTCTCGTTTATTTTCTGACGAATTTATTACGTGTACGTATGTAGGAAGAGACGGCTATTACTATAAAACATTATGTGGTTAAGATAGTTGAGTGTGGCATTTTTAGATAAATTAGTAGATACCAATATGATTTCTATGAAATCAAATAAATGTGTTTTGAATCAAAACGTTTAATTAAGGAATTGGTGTAAATGTACTTATGTAGATAGCCATTCTGTTTAACCAAAGATGTTAAAAGTCTAGTCGTTAATCTTATACAGATAAACAAATTCTTAAAACCTCCGAATCATAAAGAAGCGAAGGTTTACTGAAATTAAAATAAACGTTTGTTTAAACTTTAATATCTCTTTGTAAAGACGACGATGTTTACCTGTTTTCAACATGTTTTTTACATTTCTTGAATTGTTAGTAGGAACTTAAAATGGTTCAATTTTTTGATTTTATACTTTTATTTCGTAATATTCTTAATTATATATTTACATTACTGTCCTCCCCTAATTAAAATAAAATACTTTACTAATTAATCATAATGGTGGACCAATCTATTATTTGAAGTACTAAATACTAGATATACTAAATAGTAGAGATGGGCCGAAATTTGGTTAAACCGTATTCCGGAACATGTTTACGATTCCAATGAGTCGGCCCATCTCTACTCAACAGAATTGTCCATAAATGCTCCTGCTGCATAACACTTTTAAATTATATTTAACATCGATGAATTAGTGTGTAAATATACGAAATTTTAAAAAGATTATTATAATTCGTAGCCACTTTATTAATTTTATTATTATGTAATTAATAATTAGAAGTATCTTCTTTGCTTTTAAAATGGTCGCGAAAGCCTTATACAATTCGGTCTTTCGAGTTTTGAGATCAGAAACGACGACTTAACTCTCATATCTTATAATTAATTAAAATACACGATCCTTACTTTCTTAGATAATGTTGAAAACTATTAAGTAACGTTTGAAAACAAATTTTTCACATGTTATTGCAATAAGGCACTATAATTTAAAAATCGAAAATAAATTGAAAAATCCCGAGTCGAAAATTTTTTCAATTTATTTTCATTTTTACTTAAGTAATCTTATCCGAGAGTAGTACGGATCCAGCACTGTTTTAATTATTCGTATTCTAATTTTATTTGAAATTATCGACCTTTTTTCTCTATACTGGATCAAAAAATAACTTTTGTTAAATTAACGTTCCTAAAACACTTCTATTAAACCTTGCTCGTTTCGTCACAACGATGTTGCACTTTAGATGTGAGACTATTCTTATTTTCTTATTTAACACGTTAATTGCCTACACTGAACACCGAGCTCCGTACATTTGCATTCTTGGCAAGGAGTCGATAGTTCCGAGATGATTCTGCCCACACGGTACATTCGCCCATATATGTTACACCCTGCTAGTTTCGGCAAACCCGGCAAAAGACCCGGGATCACATTCGGAGGCTTTGACACATCTACGGCTTGCCCTACTTGTCCCTTGCTTGTGATTTCTACTGTTTTTGTACTCAATGGACGCGGCGTAGGTTTAACGTAAAGTTTTCTCGTCGTAACGATAGGCTTGGTAGTCGTCGATCGCGTGCTTGTTCTTTTAATAGCGGTCGCTTCTCCGAGCACTAGATGGTCTATCCTGTTCACGGAGTTCAGTTTTTTTGGGGGGACGAAGGAATACTGCTTCGTTGGAATAAAATGTGACGGTGCCGGTTTCGCAGTAGACGTTGTTACGGGCGACGTTGTAGTGGTTGGTGGCTTTGGTGAACTTGCGGTGCGCGGTGGCATTTTCTTAAACGGTATAGCCGTGGTGGGTTCATACGTCTCGCTCAGGAGTAGTTGTAAAACACTGCCTAATGAGAATCCTTCATCGTCTTCTTCATCCTCGTACTCTTGCGATTGTGTATTGGTGTCACTTACGTTTCCATTATGAACTTCTTGTGGCTTATCAGTTTTAGTTGTCTGTACTGTAGTAGTTTTAATTCCATTTATAGGTTGAATCGACGTTTCGTTATGTTCTCTAAGTTTTGATTCATCGGTTGTCACACTGCTGAGGTCGACTGAGGTAGAGGTAGTTATGCTTATCTGCACTGGATCCACAAAACTGTTGGTCGCTTGGTTAACATTGCTATTATTACTCTCATCTTCTAAAATAATATCTGTGCCATTATTTCCTTCAATCTGATCAGTTACCACCGAATGATTTCCTGAAATTGGAATAAAATACAATATTTTTATATATTCTTCTACATACATGTAGTAACATACAAATATGTATGAAGTCATACCCTGTTCACAAACAAGGTTCCCACAACATGGGTCACCTACAGTGGGTCGGCGGAAGCAACCTCGAGGGATATCACAGGGTTGAGGGGAACAGTGCAACTCTCCCCAGGCGCAAGTACAGATAGAACATGCCTGCTTCACATTATCGCCTTCAGTGATTTTTCGACCGTCACTTGTTACACAATCGTCTGAAATGATTCCGTTCTAATATTAAAATTGTGCAATGAAAAATAATTTTAACTTAAAAATGTATATCAACAATTTTGTATACTTTAATATTTAAGATAAATCCAGCGCATGATATTACCTTTATTATCTATTTGCATAGATGTAGTAAGATGGGGAATAATTGGCCCCTGAGTTGTACTGGAAAATACTGCATAGAAATCGTCTATCATATTAGGGCTTTTTGGTACAAATCCTCCTAAAATGTTTATTAATTGAGTTCTTATTTCATATTAGTGCGTAAGCATAATACATTTTGGTTAGATAATTTTATTTTATTAAGTGAATAAGTAAAAATTACCCTCTGTTTCGACAGGCGGTGAAAATAAGTTTATGGCAGGAGTCTCTACAGCCATATTTTCAATTAAAGGTGAGTTATGCTCAGGTTTATTTTCTTTTGTATTCTTAAAAGATGTGCCTACTGTGATCTCTATAGGCTTTTCAACATCCTTTACTTTAGTTGTATATAATTCTGACAGCTGATGTGGTAGGGAATATTTGACATTTTCTTTATTTGTAAACACTGGGTACTGATTGGGTTTATAGATATCTTCACGGCGTGTCATACTCGGATAATAAACTGGAAATTTATCTTCCCTCTCTATAGTTGAATATAAATTTTCTTTTGGCGACAAATCTTCCTCTACGACGGCGTCTGCTGCCACAAAAGGAATAATCCTGAAAAATAAACGTTTTAAACATTTAACAGTGATGCGCACATAAGCTTAGATTATTGAAATATATATATGAACATAAAACTTACTTTAAATTTGGAAGTGACGGTGGCAATGTCGGTTCATTATAATCATAATCTGCGTCGTCTTTGGTTTTCTTCGTTATGTTGTGCGTATCGGCTAAAATCGGTAGAGCAGTCTTAGGCAACACCGTGGTTGAGGTTGATAAAATTGAAGGGAAGGTGGTGTTCGTTCTTAAAGAACTGGTTACGTTTATTACGAAGCTTTCTGTTTCATCAAGCTCATCATGATTTCTTTCTGTTATCAGCTCGTTTGCTGGAAATGTGTGTGATTCCACCTCAATGCTGTCGATAAAAGGTATACGCGGTTGTATCTCCGCGTGCATTTTCAATGTATCGTTTATGCTAGTGATATTATATAGAGACGTGGAGGATAATTCAGCTGTACAATTAATGGTACCATTAACCATAATTTTTACAGAATTCTCAGGTTGTTCTGTGGTAGAACTATCAGGGAGCTCCTCAGTTGTACTTGCCTCTGTGACTGTAGTGGAATCTTTGAGTATATCGTCTACTGTTTGCGTACTTTCAGTTATAACGGTGCTTTCATTTTCTTGTAGCGTCGTACTTTTATCGCTACTTGCTGTAGCAGGAATTATGTTATTGCTTGGTTTCGATGTTCTGTCCATTACTGTACTGAGAGATTTGATAGTAGTTTCCCTTTTCGTAGATTTAGAAGGATGAAACGACCTATCTTCGTTACGAACTGGCTCCAAAAAATTTCCAACGTGATCATAAAGATTATACACCGTTGCTGGAATATAGCATAAAAAAGTTATTTACATAATACAAAACACGTGCAATTATTTAATAGGCAACCAAATAAACCAAATAACCTTGCTTTGTGTGAGCGCACTGATACTGGTGTGGGCAGCATTGCCCAGGTTGAACGAGTGGCTTGCATCCTAGTAAGTTAGGCGAACAAGACATGTGTTGACATTGGATTGTTCCTCGCAAGCAAAAGCATTGCGTACAAGGGTCTTCCATTGATTTCACCGATTTTCCTTCCTCTATCCATAAACCGTCAGGTGTTTTACAATCTACGGGATTTCCATTTACTACAATTAGATTTACGTAGTTATATCGATTTCTGACTATTAATAATACATTACGCATGGATCGGAACTCACAAACTGATGTTACTATTACTAGTCGTAGTTAGATATCGTTCGATTTCTAAGCACGATTAAGATTAACAATTGTAAAGAAGTACCATGTTCATTCTTTTCCGTGGGTGGGATAGTGGGAGGGTGGTCACAGTAAAACCGCTGAGGACAGCAAGCCCCTGGCGCGGGTCGAGGATGGCACCTGCTAGGCGGAGGCAAGCATTGAGGACGCACGCAACGTCGAGTTCCGCCTAAGCAGAAGCATTGCTCACAGGCTGTGTTGGAGCTCATCGCTGATCCCGCGGCGTACACCGTACCTCCCTCAACACAAGCGGGAAGTGCTGCACAAGGAAAATTAAGAAAGACATTAACATTTTATGCTTAGACCAGTACATAGGTAACACGTTATGTGTAATATAAACTGCTGGTAAGTGAGTTTGATTACATATCGATTTTTAGTCTTACTCAAACACTTTTTCCAAGATGGATAAATTATTCATTAAAACTATGTACCTAATCCAACTGAGTCTGGACGGCTGATTAATTTATCTTCCAAAATGGCTTCTGGTCCTTTGAAAATAACACCATCTGTCAATACAATAAAAAACATCTAATGTTTAAACGTTATTCAATTTTAATTTTACGTCTGATGATTGAAATATGAAGCGGTATATGAAGCGATGTCACATATTTACCTGGACAATGTATATGAGGACAACAGTCTCCACGGCGATGTAACGTATGACAACGAGGCGGTGGTTCGGGCAATGGGGCACAGGTGCGACGCCGACATGACAATGCACCGCTTGCGCAGGCGCACACGAGGCAAGCTTCGCGTGTGCGAACTGAAGCGCCATCGTCATACCACCTCCCATCGTACAGGCATCCTGGCGGCAGTTCCACTTTACCTTGAATCGTAATAAAGAGCGTTTGAGTGATGATGACAATAGTAACACTGTAACTACAAGTTCCTCCGAGTGGAGAAGGTAAAGAGTTTCCTCTATACTAATATCATTTTTTTAACATGTTGGACTTTGTCTGGAAATCTGAATATTAATAAGTTAGTAGGAGTATCGAAATTCTGTGATTTTGGACCCAATCACAGTCCATAGTTGAAAACCATGAAGTGTAATCGCGTATCGCTTACCAAAAAGTCAAAAGGCTGGGGTATTTCTTCTACCATCAAATGAACCCTTGTGTGTCCTTTTCTATCTTAAAAAAATACAATTCCTTATATTTTTGGGACTGTGAAAGCAATTATTATAATAAAAGAAAGTATGCTTACCATGACTGCTAGATTTATGTATATTAAAAATGTTATCGATAGCGTCGCTGGCCCCTGTAACATATATAATTATATATAAATTAATATTCCGAGCACTTCAATATGTGTCACAAATATATAGCTCTTTTATATTTTCCCAAAGATAAACGCCTTGTGATTTTCAATTGAAACATAAATTCTTTCATTAAAATAAACTTAAATTCATATTTTTCATTAATTTACATTTATTTTAAGGAATAACATAACTGTTCGGAATATAATAATAAATTGGGGGGTAGTTTTGTATTATGGAAAAGACGGCCGAACGAAAGTAGAGCGCGTCGGGAGAGTTGTCGGCAGAGTTGCCGCTTGTGAGACTTGATTGTGCTTTTTTAATAATTAAGTTTATATAACTGCAAAATATTAAGGAAGATTTCGAAACATTGTTATTATAATTTTCACGAGCTCAGTGCGTTATTAAATGTTATTAAATACATAATTGTAAATTTAGTGTGCACCTATGCGGTGAAGCAAGTTCATATTCGACCCCCTTTGTTTCCTAATATTGATATATTCCCTCTTATCCCAGAGGCCTTTAATCTCAGTTACGATAGAGACAGACACGCCACAATAATAGTGCAATTAAATCAGGACAACCACTACCGGACCGGAGGTAAGTACTTAGTTTATCGAATCTAATTTAAAAATCGAAAATAAATTGAAAAAACTCGGACAGGACTTGAACCGGCATCGTCAGCGTACCAATTGTGCTACCGAGTCCTACACCTCATCGTCGAATTTTTATGTAATTGCAACCTATATAACCGTATTAAGGTTAATGTTTGCAAACCTATCGAATCTAGTTAGCCATATGCTTATTAAAGTGTGCATCGACATTGTTACCGTATTTGTCCTGGCGATACATATTTTTGGTCGTTTTTTTTTACAATTAATTGAGATAGGTAGAATGATGACTATGAAACCCAAATTGCCTTCAAGTTTTTTAGAAAGGGACGAAGTCTTAATTTTTTTTAAAGAAATGCAAAACTAAGTAATTACATGTTTTTTAAAGAAAACAGTAACGAGTGTGAGAGTGAACAATGAAAGTTTTCTAATGAACAATTAAGAACGAGGAAGACGCGGGTACTGTTACTTTCCCGTGAGTAACTTTACTAATTGAAATCCGTTGACCGTGCGAACTTTTGCGGAAAGCTCGAAAATATCTAAAGTAAAACGTATCTAACAGATCCGATAAGTAAAATTGGTCAAAATCTTAAACTTAATTAACTCTGACATGTGTGACTTTATTAATTAAGTAAAACGTTGCATGTGAGCGTACTATGTGATACCGTTTATAAATTACCTGGGCCTCCATAGGATGGACCTCGAAAATTGATATTGGTTAATGAAACCATAGATATTATTCAAAGACATAGATAATCCCTAATTTTATATTGAAAGTAGTCAAAAATAAACGCCAGTAAATAATCTCTGAATGTCAAGGGTAGGTAGACCGCGCAAAGCATTAGCATATAATAGTTTCCCATGTCAAAGTCGAGGTTATGGGAATATGACTCTAACTGGTTATTCTAGACGAACGTAATCAAACCAGTGACCCACGAGTGAACTTTCCATGCAATATAAGTTCCATCGTTAAAGATGAATTAAGAGTTCACCGAAGTTGAAAAGTAGTAGTAGTGTTTTATAGGTACTATTTTCAATTAAAGAAATTAATAAAATGATTGCAGGTGTTGACATCTACCCGTGCCTAATTTCTTTAAAAATAAATAAAATAAAATATATCTTTAAAATTTTAAAAAATATTTAGATTCGTCAAAATTTTTTTTGTTTGTCTGTGTGTTCGTCGTGATTCAACAGAGTGCTCAAAAGAGCAAAATAGTGAGAAGAATACCCAAGAAACTCAGTCCGGCTTTTTTTAACATGTCTTATAAACGAACAAATTGTAGTGAAATTATAACCTAAGGAGCAATTCATATTACTGCCAGGCGGTCTTGTCGTTAAAGAAATAGAATCTTTGTTAGGAAGTATAATATAGTGCCTATTTTTTTTTTTTGGATGTTTAAAAACCTGTAGGGATTTCATACCATGCTAATACGCGGCTAACGTGGCTCATAGAAAATATATGATAGAGGGCGAAGGGTGAAAATTTTAGTTATAGGTACATAATCCATTTTTTTTAAACAACCTTTTCATCATGATAATTTGCTTTTTACGTAACTAAATATGGTTTTTAATCACAACGCGGTGACACTATCCCGTTTATCTCCACACATTGATGTCAAAATCAGGGCTTAATAGCACCTAATGTAAAGAGGTAGAGTATAATTTCCAAGTTTTGTGTGAGCATAGCGGTTTCTTTGCATTAATTACGGCGGTGGTTGACATAACTACGTCACGACCTTTGACTAGATGTTTAAATTAAGTTTTAGATTGGAATGGACCAAACAATTTGAACCAAATCCAATTCTGAATATCCATAGCCAAAGAGGTCACAGCGCATCCTGTGAGATGTTATATGGCTGACTATATTTTATAAAAGATTGTTTATTATAAACGAAAAAGACGTGCTGAACTAATTGTACTAAGTTAATTTTACGACACTCTACTATCACAACGCTGAATGTCTTCAATTCATAGAACAATATGTTTTCAGAGTTGTTTCGGGCAATATTTTATATTCATGGCAATGACGATCATTGGTAAATGAAGTAATATTTACATTTAATAATTTTGGATTAAAAACTTTTTGCAAAATTATTTTATTTATTTGATCAGGTGATATGTTTGTAATAAGCGTCCACTAAAAGAGCATTGTTGTAACAGAACAGTGGGCGTTAACCGTTTCAGGTTAAATGTTAAACTGTTCCTCGGAGAAGGTTCTATTTAACGAGTAACCGTGTCAGTGGTACACGAACTATTACCATAACAATGTTTGTCAGTTTCTAGTTATTAGCTTTGTTTTCCTTAATTTTACAATAAAAATGAAGTCGGTAAACATGTGAAAATGTCAGATTAGAGAAAATAATTAAAAATAATGCGGGAACGTTCCAAGGGCACGAAACCTGACACGGTCGGCAAAAAGAAATTACTTTTGTTTTTCCCTTTCGGCCGACCGACCTGCATTCTGAATGAAGGAACTTATAAATAAAACCTATTGTGTTAAAGATCATCAAAAAGGAAGAAGCCTTTCCTCGTTATCTTTTGAGATTCATATATTAAACGAAAAAACTAACATGTTTTAAATTGAGTTTGGCGAAAATACCATAAAAGTAATTTAATATTCAGTAGTAGCCCGTTATCATTACATGCCTTGTAATATAATTTGTATGTAAATACCATAATATATACGATTTAAAAAAGTTTATATAGATATGAAGTGCGCGCGTTGAACTCTTTCGTAGAGCCGGTCTGCAGCCATCTCGCGGTAAATTGCTATTCTTGTCATAATCATTGAAGTTATTATGGAACATACACTAACATAGTATATTGTTGACATAAATTGGTTATTTAGTGCAATGGGTAATATTTAACATAAGCGTACAGTTGAACAAACTCATTTAATTGATTTTTTTTTTGGATTGGACAATAATTACTTAGAATATATAAATTCCAAAACTCAGGTGTATACGCTGTATCTTTATCTAAAATGACCATTTTACTTTATTATGCGTTGAAAAAATATATATTATTACTTAGTTACTTTATGATTATCGAAAAAAGTTAGGAAAATATATAAAGATCGTTTAAAATGAAAATTTAAAATCCATACCAAAATGCTCCCCTCGGGATTCTAAAATAACGAAATTTCACAAAAATATATTCACGTGTACAAAGGTCACAAGGCGTTTATCCTTGTGAGTTGTGGGTCAACGACCGTATTTGCGTAGGACCTGCAAGTGCTACGGCGAGGAGGAGAGAGAGCGCAGCCATGGCGTACAGCCTCCACGACGACTCGGCACTGACTGACCGCCCGCCGGCCGCCACCTTCCGCCTCGCCTTCTCACCTATCAATCTACTCTGTAGCTTGTAATCAACACTGCATATAGTATCAACGTGAGATTTTTAAGGCCGATTATACACATCCTTACAACGGCTAAACGTGTTGCCTAGCATTTCGCTAAGCCCGAGAGGTCCTGGGTTCTAATGAACTACTTGCCTGTAAATAAAACGAAAACAGAAATATGTTCGCAACATGTCTGACGGGTGGAAACGGGATTTCATTTTATACATACCCTTTAATGTAAATTATTTCGGTAATATAGAAATACCATGCTATGCAATAGTTGAAATACCTTAATACCTTATACAAGACTGAAGATTCAATGTGTAGACTTTATTTCCCGGCATTTCACTTATTTTTGTTTGAAATAGTCTAATTAACCGAAACTTGTTTGCCTATAATTTGATCGCAGAATATCTTTTAACGAAATGCTGTATTTAACCATTAAGGGATGGAGGTGGTAAAATTATATTTAACTCATAGCAATTTCAAATTTCTTTAAGGCCGATTAGGGATTACCCTTCAATTTCTAAGTTAAGTTTTATACAATATCAAGACCTAAAAATTATGTAACAAATGCTGTTTCTAATTTAAAAAGTCTGTTATCAATGCTAAAAGTAATTTTAGTTTTTATTAACTGTTAGCATATAGTAAGTGCCGTATTTGCACACAAATAGGTCGCCCGTCCGAGACACTTTTTCGACTAAAGTTCTAACTAATGATGAAAAAGATGAGCCACGTATGCGACAAGGGATATAAGCAATTAGTAACTACTTTTAAGTAAGAATATGAGCAGTCATTTCAATTACGTTGAACGCATCTTAGCTCGCTGTTTTATGACGTCAGATTATAGAAAAGAATTTCAAATGATGTCTTGAGTATTTTAAGCAACAATCGTCTCTAAGTCTTTTCATCATTATCTTGTTAAAAAATATCATTTTCTTACTAGACTACATACAACATTCCTTATTGTATGTAGTCTAGTAAGTACGAGTATACTTTTAAAATGGCCTTCTAAAAATTATGAAAGTTCATTATTGTATAGAAGTACGTATTCGAATCGCTCTCTCGCAAAATCATTGGGTAGTTATTATCACGCACCCTAGGATTCCTAACGGCTCGTCGGTGCGTATGTCCAGCCTTAATTATGGCCTTAATTGACACAAAAACAGTCCACACCATCCACCACGCCATTACTAAAGTTATGTTAAACGGTTACGCGAAACTCAGCGATTTATATAACAGTATCGAGTTCTTGCGCTAATTTAATTAAATTCTGAGTCGGAACTTTAAGCCGGCCGATGCAAAAAATAAATTAATCAACAAATACTAATCTCTAAAATGAGTTCAAAGTATGAATAAACTTATTGCATCTTAATCTTAATGCCGCGATCAACCTAACCATCATCAGCCATCATTCTTATATAATTTAACAATTCTAAATCTGTATGCTAAGTGTCATGAAGCACGAAGCTAGTTTTTCAAACTCCCCGCGGTCTCCCTATGTATCCCATATTACATTATTACAATGTAAAGCTTAATGGCGCCGGTAAGAACAAAGCAAATGTTATAATGAGTTAAACGCAGAGCGCGTGAAGAGTCCGCCTCAGCATAATTAGATACGTGTCATAATTAGGTACGGTGACGAAGTATGTATAAGGGACGCAATTCTCGGGTAGGCGACAACAAAATCGATATCGACAAAGACGCAACATATGTCACTTTCAAATTGAAATAATTTATTCGCGTAGGTGACTGAAACTTTTATGAAACTTGTAAAAATTCTATTTGTCACCTGAAAATTGTTTCTAATGAAGGCAAGAAGTTTACACTTTCGTTATGTCTTCTCAGTTATGATCTTCGTTTGTCTCGCGGGTCATCTTTCTTTCTCAGACCTACGTGGACATGTAGAGATATAAAAACACGATACCCATTCGTTGGTTTATCAGTGTTTAAATAAGCTTTGATTTTTTTACATTTTATTACAGTCTTTAATTTTTAATAATTGCTTTTCCTTGCATGACAATCAGTGTGTATGTGGCTTAGGAGGGAGATCTTGTTATTGAGAATAATAGCAACTTGTCAATGGCACCGCATTGCTGAGTATATAATTACTGCTCATATAAGCATTATATACGATTCTTATAAAATGTACCTATTATTTCATACGCGCTGCAAAAATGCATTTCTTTTCGCAATAACTTAATAACGCATATTATTAACCAAGCATTGCAACGAGATTATGGGAAATCTATGGCCTCTTTTTATTCAAAATTACATTTTCAAGTATTATCCGTAGTTTAAAACGCGAAAGTTTTTGTACCCCGTGACCACTGCTGCCAAGCATTCGAAACGTCGGGCGGTCGTTAAAATCAATTATTAATGAGTTAACCAATACATTTCGGGTTTTAAACACTTTCATATTATTATTTTGGTGGAGTTGTATTCAGTATAACGATAACTGCCAAAGCTCAATTATAACAAATCTCTATGAACACGACGATTTTAGAAAAACGTCCTATTTATTATTTCTTATTAAAATTTTGGTTCTCCTATAGTTTGCAATATAGCTTATCAACGTGTTAGAATTAGTGGCGCTGAATATTGCATATAAACGAAACAACAAAATTCCCAAAATAAGTTCAACAACGAAGGTATATACGAAGAATTCTTACTTGTTAAGATTACCTATGTTCTATATAAGAAGTAGATATAGACAAAATTCTGAGACCACACAGGCGTCTAACGGTAGTGTATAACATTAATTAACTGTATCGAATACCGCGACGTCGCCCGTGCGCCGCGCCCGACCACATTCACACTTGCTTCCTGTAACGAGAACGGATTCACAACCATTCATTAGGATTTGACCCAACGGGAGTGCCTCATTTCACACACACATGCCTCTATTTCGACAAATCTTAGCTTATACAAACTATTACGTTTCCATCATATCCCATACTTTTGTAAGTGGATATACATCTTTTATTTAAAAACAAAATTTACACTGATCCGACTGACTATTTTTGTCCCGGACTCAAACCGCGGATTTCTAAGATAAGATTATATAGCTTGTCCTAAATTTCGAAGATAGTTTTCCCCATACATATAATTTACACGTTTTAATCCATACGAAAACATATAACCTAATTCATTGTATTTTACTTCTTATCTATATGTGAGTAGCTACCGCGTAATTAGTAGTATAGATTACGATAGAGCTTTCGTAATAGCCACGCTTACGTAATTAGAGGATTAAATATGGCATTGTTTTATCGAACGGTAGCTTATACTATAGCCATTCATTTCTATTGAAGCGTTGGTTTCGCAATGGATTTAGGTAAATAACATTATCTATCCTTCATTTTGCTGTGAGATAAAAGCCGAGCCTTGTCTGTTGTATACGGTTTCGTATAAGAATCTCACTGTGGTGATTTACACCTATGTTATGGTATAAATGTATTGATTTCGCTTAAAAAGTTAATATTAAATTATTGTTTTAATTTTTAATAAGACTATGTAATAAAACTTCATACCAACGTTTCGATATAATTTATTAAAAAAATCTAAAAGTAGAAAAGATGTAGTATCACATCTGTACTTGCGTCACCAATAAATTAAAATATTACTCAACAGTCCTCGCCTCGAGCGGTGCCTCTGAAACCAGTCACAGACTAGTTACGATCCATCGGGATTTCTCATAATAATCCGATTTTAATATCATTGATATATTGATCGTTTCTCGAGAGCTTACGTTTACTGCCTTAAAAGTTTACTGTGTGTATATATTCAATAATATGATCTGTATTCTATATTCAGAATTGGAGCTACTATGATTGCATAAAAAAAAACAATAGTAAATAGTTATAGTTAGACTTATTGACGATCTACACGATCATAGAATTGGTATTGTCTGGAGCTGGTTCCGAGACTACGCTAGGAGGCATTTTAACGACCGAAGCCTATTACTGGCCCACGTGGTTGACCTGGTTCTGCAGGTTATTGATAACTTCCGAGGGAAGCTGGTCACCGAGAATCTCGAAGAGATTTATTTTCTGATTTCCGGGAATAGATTCGTATGCCGCTAACTCGATGCCTTCTTCGACCTGAAAATATTAACACTGGTTATGTAGAGCTAAAGATTTATCGTGTGCGCAATACATATTATATTTTTGGCAGTCGTTTTAATCTTACAAACACACTGGTAGCATACCTTTTGTATTACAGCATCCTTAGGGATTAGGTAAGTGCTTTGGGCTTGTTTGATAGCTTCCTTGGTGTATGCGGCACCTTCCCTCTGTGGCTTAGGCAGAGCGCACACTGCCGCCACCAGTAGAAGACACAGTGCTAAGGATTTCATTTTTAAAGATCTCCCAAACAGACCTGAAAATAGAAAGATATTTATGATCCTTTTTTGTTCAATGGGGACGAATGTCGTTACGTACTATGTCAACTGGATGTTCGATTTATACCGATTGAATAGTACAGCAATATAAACAATTAGCTATATTTTAGTCGTGTCCAAATGGCCGAGATAATCTACGTCGCCTTTCCACATCTCGAATGTCGAAACGTTGAGCATCAACTAAGGCTCTTCACGTTGCGCAACCCCGCGGCAACGGATCGACATGTCAGACTTTTCATATCAGACTAAAGGAGAAAGTACAAGTCGAGTCACGATCGACGAAGTGAATTTAAAGCCTTTGTCGAGCCTCGTTTGTGTCCTGCGTGCTGAGCAGGCTTTCGAAATCTCATGAATCGTTTAAACAAACAACGCGAAGGAAGGCTTTATATTTCTGGGAAAGTGCACGATACTCGTTCTCGAATAGAATAATGTTATTATTATTAAACAACTAAAATTAAACTTTCCCTTTTTATTACGTAGTGTTTATTAAAAGTTTTTGTGGAACTTTAACATATTTGAATGTTATTGCAAACTTTCATCTCAAAACATAAGTGATATAATTTAATGCGCACACACAACACTGTCGTTTGTACTTGCGCCTACTTTCCCGAGCGTTCGCAGTTGATACTCATCACGTACAGCGCGTATTATGTAATGGTCGAAGGGAACATCGTTACCACATGATATTTGCTTACTCAAGATAAATAAGGATACTTTAATATATTCCCACAACGTATAATACGATAAAAAAGCAATTAACATAATGACGTGTAAAAACTACAAGAGGAATGAAAACGGTTTAAAAGTGCCAACATTTTTTACGTGCCCCTTTGTTTGTTATTGTTACAGAACTAATTTTAATCTAGGCTCAAACAAAAGCCCTTTCCTTTCTTTAATATATTAATGCTTCATTTGACATTAAAGAAGCTAAAGGCCTCTTAAAATATTATATTGCTTATTACTGCGTCGTTACTAACTTATACACTGATAAAATATTCATAAAATGTTTTTGTTTAGAAATAAAATCGAATAAAAGAATAGAAGTATAAACAAGCAAGAACAAATAAAGTACACGTTGACTTACCAGCAAAGCTGCGGAGTGAGGCGCGCGCGACCCATAGAGACTAATATATCTGACCGCCCGCCCCCCGCCCGCCAGGGCGATCTCGATACACTTTCACTGCTCGCTACTCCTGCGGTCCTGGTATTACGGACCCCAAAATGTGCTCATCAAGCCATAAAGGACCAAGGCTGTAACTGTTGTTAAATCGTATCTTTTTAGGATTCAGTCGCCACTCTGTACTTAACTGCTTTATATGTAACTATAGAGCAAATTTAAAATATCCCAACGCCACCATCTAAATCCCCTTCGCACTGATGTTCTGCTTCACCAGCACGAGGTGAAAAGTAAATATTTTTTTCAGCAGGAAAATTAGGTCGGTTGTGATTATATATATACCTTGAGAGAGTAGAAAATATTACTCCCAAAGGGAAAGCTTTTTGTAAAGATATCAAAATGTTTCCTGCTAATAGAAATTACTCTCTCTCTCTCTCGTCTCGTTTGTAGGTGTGACATTAAGAAAGGCGAAAAGTATTAAATTAAATTATCTACCTGCTACATTCCGATTCGCAATATTTGAAAATTTGAAAGTTGTACTCGTAGGCTGGGTTGGAATTAACATCAAAGAATATATTTTAATGCTAATTGTGAGAAATATTTTGTGTAATTGTGAATATAATCTTATTGTAATAAGTATATAGAAAAGTAATTGTATTGCATATCATTGTCTTTCGGGCTGTTCGGCCGATGTGATCGAGAAGAGGTTCTCGACGTTTCGCCATCACGTGTGGACGGCATCATCAGGAGATGTTGACTCTTCGATTGCTCGAAGAATTAATTCTTCGAGACAATGATATGCTGAACGATGGCCGTGAAAGCCTTACACAATTTATTTAGTAATTGTATTATTGTGTTCTTTATATTGGTATAATTTTATAAGGAAACAGAAATTGAAAGTATATATGTGTAAAAAATAAAAGTATTCGAGAAGCTGCTACCGCGTTCGTAACGTATTGGTAACGTTAGACAGAGTTCAACCGGTAATTATGCCTTTCTAGTGACCACTCGCTGACCGCCGACCGTGGACTAGCGCCTATGGCCTCATCTTCCGTCTGCAATTCTCTTAGAATATTGTAGTGCCCTGCGGTATTACATGGAGATAACTTTTTTATCTTAGATGTGGACCAGGGAAGGGGTTCGGTCGATCGAGGAGGTGAAATACCCCAGTCATATAACACCTCAACGAGACACACTGTCAAAGTTTTACGACTTTGGATATTCGGATATCCCACTTAACCTTTTAATTTCCAGATCCAGTAGTCCAAAGGATGATCACGTTTCAGGAAAATTTGCAATTGATTCGAAACATGTAAGATCCAGTGGAGATCGAACCTACACACAGTTGATTTTTTCATTCCATTAGACCGGCGAGGCAAAAGAAAAGCTCAAAATTCGTACAGCCGTTTCAGTTCCAACTAAATTTCAATGAGTCACATTTGAAATTGATTACGTACACCGATTTTCGGGACTCGGCATCGATATTTTATTGGAAATGTTGTTATTCTTTTCAACTATTTGGAGACCAATATTAATTTTATTTCAAAAACGTAGCGTTCGGTAACAGGGTAATTTGCAAGCATAGTGAACTAAACCTACTTGGCAGACGGTACAGAATGTGCACACTATTTAAATAGTTATAAAATTAAAAGGTTTTGAACTTTATTATATTGAATATAAAGAACAAACAAGAAGGTTTTATTGTATTTAATATAAAGAACAAAGAAAAAGAGAGACAAAAAAGATTGAGTCTAGTAGATGAGTCTCTCAATGCATACATTAAATTTTAACCAACAAACGGAGACCTTTCTATCTATCAAATCGAGTCAATTTTAATATTATATAATTCGCTACATCGCACAACTTCGCAAACACATTTCTATTGTGTCTTACTGCCTTTACGCAAGTCGAAACCTGCGCGCCCAGAGACTATAGAGTATAGACTAAAGTTCCTTTATTAAAGTAGGCCAAGGTGCCGCCGCGGTCCTGTGACGTCGCAAATTAATTGTCACTTATGTATTTTAAATCCAAAAAGTGATTAAGTGTTTTGTTTCAGTGAATAATTGCCCAATAACATGAAGTTCAACTGTAATCAGCTAACTTAACATTTACTTCTTCAGTAGTATTAGTCGAAATTTATAATAGTTTTGTCATCGCCAAGTGCATCTAAGAAATTAGCGAGAACAGTAACCTCGATATTTTTTTAAAGAATTCTTTCCTACCCTTATTACTTTACGTTTGTTCAACATTAAATTACTTGGTGGATTATGTCGAACACATGTTATTTCTTGACAACTTTTATTTCACAATGTTAATAATAATAATAAATATCTTTATTTAGCATTCATTTTGTACAATTATTAGACGTAATAAAAATAAATATAATTACAATAAAAAATAATAATAATAAAAGTAAAACAATAATACTACGACAAGATTAAATTAAATTTTGTTTAAAATGATGCCAAAAGGGTCTTACGTCAGCATAAGTTGTAGCACGGTTATTATGCTACAACACTGATTTTCAGCAAAACCCTACCGTTTGTCTGTTAGACAGCGCACATACAACCATTCGATACTATATAACAGTGACTTTAGTGGTAAACATTAGGAAGCAATAAATGATAAAAATAGAAATTAGAAATTATTGGCGTAAATAGGAGGGAGAAATTCTTGCGCCCAGCGGCAAAGTGTTCTGATAGTTTAATAAAAATGCTTTGTAGAATTTTTTGAAGCCAAATAAACTATTATAATTATGGGCTGGCGGTGGAATATTATTCCAGCATTTTGTCGCTGAGTAACTGAACGACCCTCTAAAGGCGGCCGAATTATATTTAGGAATTCTCAACCCTCCTGAATTGAGGAGCCTTGTTTGGAAGACACCACGACACCACTCTAATTTTTTAAAAAGATAATTAGGTTTAGCATTTTTTATCACTCCAAATAGTAAAGTAGCTAAGTGCAATTCTCTTCGCAACGTCATTTTGAGGATCCTGTTTTTGTAAATATAGGGTGTAACATGAGTGCGAGGGGCTATATTAAAACAATATCGAGCACACGCGTTCTGTACCCTCTGCACAACTCGTTCAGTCCGTGCTAAAAGACGCGGCCCGAAAACTACGTCGCCATAATTTAGTTTCGAAAGAATAAGTGCTTCGCACAGCTTTGTGCGAAGCTCCTCGTTTATATAGCGGCGTATCCGGTAAAGTACTTTTAGCCGATACAGACAGTTCCTTACCACATTTTCAATATGTGCTTCGAAGCGAAGTCCTGAGTCAAACACTATACCCAAATTCCGTGATTGGGAAACACATTCAATATCCTCTCCAAGGACGCTTACTTTAGGTGCACGTGTTTTAACATCAGCTACTTGTTTGTCAGTACCAAGAATCATAAATTTGGTTTTAGCCGGATTCAAATTGAGGGAGTTGCAAGAAGCCCATTGAGCTATATTTTGTAAATCTAAATTTAGTTTGCCAACCGCTATTTGAGTGTTCAAAGAATCAAAAGGTAAATATAATTGGATATCATCGGCATATATATGATATTTGGCAAATTTAATGGAACTGACAACGTCTGCGCTATACAAATTAAACAAAATTGGTCCTAAAACTGATCCTTGTGGAACTCCACTTAATAGCGTCCTCGGTCGAGACCGAATAGCCTCACCATTTACTGTATTCGTTAGTTCCACGATTTGTGTTCGTCCCCTTAGGTAGCTTTCAAACCATGCGACCGTTTCAGCTTCAAAGCCGTAGAAAGCCATTTTAGCAAGCATAAGGTCAAGATTAATTGTTTCAAAAGCCCTCGAAAAGTCAAGTAACACCAAAAGCGTAGCTTCACCTCTATCTTGAGCCTGTAATGCATCATCAACTACATCAATGAGCAATGTCGACGTACTATGAGACTTGCGAAAACCAGATTGATTACCGGGAAGGATGTGATTTTTTTCTAAATATTGATTAAGTTGTGCAGCAATTACTTTCTCAATAATCTTTGACATACATGGCAAAATGCTAATTGGACGAAGATCGCTTATCGCCTCAGGATTACCATGTTTTGCTAATGGCTTCACTATAGCGGTTTTCCACGTTATAGGGTACGTATGCGCTTCAATTGATCTATTAACTATAGCAGTAAGGACGTCCAGAGTATAAGGTAGAGTTAACAAGAGCATATCCAGGGAAACGCCATCATACCCTAAAGCTTTAGAGTGAAGGGACTTGATTATTTTCGCAATTGTCGATGATGAAACAGGAGAAAGTTTAAAGGAAGTACTGCATGCTCTATTTGACTTGAAATAATTTAAGGTAAAGTCATTTACTGCATTGTCACCAGGAATATTTGTGAAATGAGCGTTAATTAGATCTGGGTCATTAAACTGAGAAGGTAACTCATTCGGTCTTTTGAAATTAATGTTTAAATTTTGCTTAAGGTTTTTCCAAAGTTGTTTAGGATTATTGATTTGAAGATTTAATTTTGTGTTAAAATAGGCGTTTTTCTCATTGTAAATTGAAATGTTTGTAAATTTTTTTAGTTCCTTGTAATTTGCTTTATGTGCATCTAAACCAGTCGTTCTATACAAATCATGCGCGTCATTACGATGTTTAATCATTTTTTTAATTGGAAAAGTAATCCACGGTAGTGAAGAAGAAGACTTGGAAAATACTTTTTTTACCGGTGCATAGATGTCAAAGATCATTGTCAGGATATCGCAAAAAGTAATAACCAGATCGTCGACATTATCTTTGGAACATAGTAGCTTCCAATCTATTGCCTGGAGACATTCAGTAAATGTTTGCAAATTTATGGTATTAAGCGGTCTAAAAATTCGCCAACACGGTTTATTTAAAGTTTGTTTTTTTAATTTAAAATCACACTCTATAAGCGCGTGGTTGCTTAAGTCCGGTATAAAATTAACGCGTACTCTGCTCACACTGAGATCACTACACACGACATCTATTAAAGTTGCTGAAGTATTGCTGAAATGAGTAGGCTCTGTAATGAATTGCGTGAAATTCATATACTGTACGAAATTGTGAAATTTAGAAGTGTTACTATTCGACTGCAGTAAATTAATGTTAAAATCGCCCAATAAGATGGTATAATCATAATTTGCGAAGGAACTGAGTGTATCGGTTAATGCGTCAAAAAACGTATCTATATCGTGCCACGGTGGTCTGTACGCCGTACCAACTATAACATTACAACTACAACACTTTAAGGACAACCAAAATTGCTCGACCGTGGGGTGGGCTGGGAATGAGACTCTACGCGCAACGATTTCTTGCCGGATAAAGAATCCCACTCCACCACCGCGAGATCTGACCGTAGGCGAGCGAGGAACATGCAAAAATTTATAGCCAGCTAATTGTGGCACAAGAGCGTCGTCGTTCCCGCGGAGCCATGTTTCGTTAATGGCTAACAAGTCAAAACGAAGCCCCTCCACAGCGGAAATAAATTCCTCATGTTTATTTGCAAGTGAACAGGGATTTAGTAAACCAATTTTAAGTTGTTTTGAAATAGAGATAACTTAGTGAAAACTTATATGACAAGTTATATTTTATAGGCGAAAAATAAGTAGAAAATAAATGATGTTTGAAAACGCCCCTACGACCAATAGGTTTTATAATATAAAGTATTATAAAGTCACTTGCAAAGATTCTTGTAAGAATGGTTATATGTATACGTCGAACAGTGAAATAATTATTAAGTAATATGTTAAGTTGTATTATTAAACGTTTTATATGTTGAAAATGGGTAAAAATAAGAATACCATCGTTATTCTTAACTGCTATTTGATCAAAAAGACAAATAAAAGCAACCAGAAAGATAACAATACTAACAGGGAGGTTATTATTTGGCATCACTTTTTCTAGCCCACTAAAGATAATGACTATTGTAGTGTGAAATAGTACTAATTGTTTACTATGTTGTATACATAGTAAACAATTAGTACTATTTATATCATACTTAGTTGTGACTAGAATTAAATTTAAATTAACAAAATGGTTGGTAGTCTTAAAGGTATAATAGTGTAGTTTTAAACAACTTAACCCACATATTACAGCATCAATACTAAATACAGATACGCTATGTTGATATGATTCTATAGACACATATAATAACTTTACAGTATATAACATAATCTGGCTAATCACAACATGACTGTGACCCTTCGCAAACTTATTAGACAAATTATTATTATTACAACAGTAGTCTATTAAAAATAAAATATAAGATAAAAGCAGAATAGTCTTAGGACATAGACAACTTTTTTCTAGGGTTATAGACATACATCGAATGAAACTAACGGGAATAGCAATGTAAACAAGATGGGGGACTAATTTTCGGGACCACCAAAAACCACGGCCAAGTCTGCTTCAGTACGAATTCGTTTAACTTTTGTGTCCGATTTCTGACGAGCAAATATATTCCCATCTTTGGTCCATAGGTATTGCCAGCTTAGTCGTTTCTTTTCCTCGCGAGCCTTATAGAAGAGGTGCTTGTTGTGGCGCGTAAGACGTTCATTCAGATAGAATCGGCGCGGATCGCCCGGTAGATTTAATCCTGACGTGTCGGCATCTCGGCGTACACGTGCACTTTTTAATAAGTTGTCTCGTATTGAACGTCTTGTGAATCGTACGTATATCGATCGGCTACTTGGTTTCGGCCCACTTCCATTACTGCGATTACGACTATAGGCCTTTGCCCTCTGAACACTCACGATGTCGTCTTCATGAACCACAACGCTGAGCTTTGACGCAATCAGACTGACCAAATGCGACAAATTTTCGCAGACCCCTCTATTCAAGTACTACTAGTAGTAAGCCTATATTGTTGAATTATAAGCAATGGCATGGGCATACATCTTACTAGATAGTCTAAGACAACATTAACTTAAACATAATATGTGGGTTGTTGAAATGCATATTTTTTCAAATGTAAGGTAAACCTGAAAGTTATTGTAAAAATTAAGTTTAACTCCATTACTCAAATCACATAATATAGCATTCCAAACCAAGTTAGGACCGGAGGAAAGAAATTACATTTATTTGTCACTCCAAATAAAACGCGTATCAGTCTAACTTGTTTTATTCGTAAAAACAATGAGATGATATCAATCGAAATACAATTAAATGAGCGTGTGCGCTTATTGCCTCGGAAAAGATGTCGTCTTCCGGGGCAAGAAGGAGCACAGGGCGACTCCACTTAGCCAAGCCTAAGGTGAACCAAATGCCGACAAAACGTACATCAACATAATATATAGCTAAGCAAAGAACATAATCACCGCACCTGAAAACGAATGAACTTGTAAAGTAAATAACCTTTGTTTACGCATAAGTAATTTTTTATACCTTATTTAAATATGTCACTTTGGACTACGTTCAAAATAATAACTGTATAAAACATTGAGCTCGGTGGATCGGGTGATCCACGCCTTATCTTATATCATTTATTTCGATCGATTAGGTACAATATTATTACATCGAATAACTGTGCATTAGTTTGTCGTTTGTGCGCTTCTAGATTTAAAACTATCTATAGATACGTTGTCTTAACTAATTTTTGTACCAAATTTTGTTTTTACATTCAATTGGTCACGGATTTGGCTAAGGAGTTCTCACTTCGTCCTAGAGGAACTTAACTATTGGCCGGTCCTGTATCCCATAATACGACCGAATGTGTTACGTGTTCTGGATATGTCGGAAATTGACTTCCTAAATGCGATTCGAGTAGTCTGGAACGTTATAGAGTGGTTCAAAATGATTCGCCGGTACGGTCGCGACAGCTAGCGGAAATGGCAACGTGGCTGGAGGAACGGCTCCCCACCGTCACGTAATGACTAGCTCGGTTAATCGATTCACGTTTCTCACTACAATAAATAACTTAAACACGAGACACGACGCTAAACTATCTTTATAAATAATTTGTCCAACTAATACAATAATAAATTCAGCCAGATCTCTGGCGACTACTTAATTATAAATAGTTACGCTACGCTCACAATTGACGATACAGTTATGTCCATAAAACTAATAGTCTCTACGATAATCCATTCGATAACGAAACTTATTGGCTTCCAAATGCTAGATGTTGAGGTTCCATTTTATACTGAACTACCGGCATCTACTTCAGTAGAACTTGTATTAAAAATCTCTTGCTCTGTCGTTACGTCGTTAGAAGGAGTTGAAGCTGTATCTTTTGATTCCAAGATCGCTTCTTCTTCTGATGACGTAACTTCCTTAACCGGATTTTCCATTACGACTTTTGTCGGATGTCGATTTATAGTTGGCACATACGATTTCTTAATTATTTCAATATCTTTTTTTTCAACCGTTCCATTGTTGCGTTCCTGATTGGAATCAGATACGTTATCAATAATAGGTCGTTTGGTTGTCGGTTCAACTTTATCGTTTGGTGGAGGGAAATCAGTAATTCCTTCTACTTCGTCGTCATCCTCAATCTCTACATTTTTTTGCTTACTTGAAGACTGGTTCTTATTTTTTAACGGAATCTCGGTTATAGAATTTAGGTTCCGATTGTTATTCTTACTTTTATAACCAACATTTACTGGAATAAGTTCCTCCGAATCTGAAATTGTCGTAGAACTTCCGGTTCCATATTGAGGGGCATCTGTATGGTCACTTATAGATGCCACATCTCCTACCAAGTTAATTAAATCAGTTAGAACGTTATTTTTCTTACCTCGAGGAGGTTCTATAAGCGCAGAGCTCCTTTCATTGTCTGGAGAAATTTTTATTAGTTCTACTGCATCAGTTGCACTCTCCTGGGAACCAAAAGGTATAAACTCTGTGGTTTCCATATTTTCAAATGACGTGTCTTTGCTAGGGTCCATTCTAGACAATATTATCGAATCAGATACTAATAATTCCGAAGTTAAAGCAGAAGTTGTCGATGAAGCTAGTGTGCTTTCTAATCCTTTTTCAGAAACGTCGTGCGGGTTTTGATCACTTGTTTCGATAAGTATAGAACTCGGCTGGTTCTCCGAAAATATTTCCGTACTAGAAATTTCAGAAACTTTTTGAGTAACGATGTTTTCAGTAGTTTGTGGAATCGGATCACTTAGATTAGTTTCGTTATATTTATTTTGTAAAGTAACATTTTCTTCTTTAGGAATTTCATCATGTGCCATGGAGGTTATTTCTTGATTCGGAACTTCAGTTGTAGTATCCATATCGTCAACCGTTGTGTCATCAGAAATAAATGAAGGAATATTGAGAATCTCAGTAGGAATTGCAGATCTTAGATTTATCATAGTATTATCTTTGGTTGTAAAAGTAAGCGGAGTGGAAGCTTCAATTTTATTTGTTCTTCGTGTAGAAATCTCTGGGTCCAAAAGATTCTCAGTCGTCACGGATATATCGCTTGACATAAAGAGTACTGTTGTAGGAGATGCTTTGGCTACTGGGGACTCTGTTGCAATTTGTTCATTCGTTACATCAGCGTTGCTTATTCCAGGTACATGTTCATTATCGAAATGTTGTTCTGGTAGAATTTCGTCTTCGTGATTACCCAGTACAGAAAGATCGTCTGGTATCGGAGGGAACGCTGGATTATGGTCAAACAATGTAGGATCTTCTTCTTCGATGCCTGGAATTTTAGATGTAAGAGGACTCAGTCCAATCGGCTCCGATGGAGATCCCATCATTATTAAATTAGGGATATTTGAGGGATATATGTCACTGTTTATTGAATCTTGTGTGGAAAAACTTATTTTTGAGGGCGATGAATCAGTACCATCTTTCACGTTTGGATTTTCCTCTATCGACGTCTTTATATCAGACTTGTCGACACTAGAGGTAGAATCTAATTTCGCATTAGCATCGCCGCTCAAAGGATTTTCCGAAGTTACTTCCCGGGGTATTAATGGAGATTTGGATGAGGAATATTCAGCTTCGTCTACATTTGGCGAAGGCAAAATTTCTTTCACTTTAACGTCAGTGATAACTGGTATTTCAGAGACAGGCGTAATCTCCTTTATCGTGAATCCTGGCTTCACAAGAACAGGAGGCGAGGCCGCTGCACTCGTATTGACTTTAGATGAGGGCGCGCTGGTCGCTGTTGCCCCGTGCACTGATGTAACCCCTGTAACACAATAGTAATATTTTTTTAAGCATAATCAAATACTATCATTGAGAATCTTTTCTTAAGTAGCTTATACAAAATACGTAGTTTTTTTTTGTATACCTACAAAATTTTTTTGCATCCGTTTACATACTATACAAATATAAATAATGGAGTTATCACAATCGGTTAAATTGTTTGAATCGGTTTTAACGTTTGGCCTCCGACTTACCTCTGAGCGGACAGTTGTCGTATTCGGGACAACAACGGCCGGGCACGAGGCGAGGTTGGCAATCGTCGCGGACGAAGCACGCGATGCGGCGACAGACGACTTCGCCCCCTTGGCAGTAGCAAACGCGGCACGGATCTTGAGGGTCCACCAGTTTCTCCCCGTTCCCGTAGACACGCCCTTCTTGCTCACATTCTGAAACCAACGCCAAATAATTTCTGTGACTTGAAAGGTTATTAACGTGCAGGAAAATGAGTTAACCGTTTTTTTTTATATTATTACAAATCAAATGAAATCAAAAATTCTTTATTGTTTCCATATACATGGTGCAGATGAGATTTATTATTATTATGTGTATTAAACAATTACATGTACTTAACCTACCCGAGTGAGTGAGGATTTTGGGGCAAACTTTTTGCTCGCCTATTGCTTATGTATTTTAGTCTTTTCCGAAAAAGCCGATGCAATCTGAGAAACAACGAGTTTTAACAAACATATTCATATTAGTATCTTACCACACTGATACGTCGGGCAGCAGTGGTCAGGCCGATGCACTGCCTTACAGCCAGGTCGGGGCTCACACTGTTGTTTTTCGCATCGTACCTCTCCCCCTGCGCACGCGCAGCGCTCACACGCGTTCGCCCCAGGAAATTCGTCGCCCGACATATACACCACGTCACCCAAAGCGCAGCTGCCTGTAAAAGCCGAGCATCTAGATGAATAATTTAAATCTTTGGACACTTTTTTATCTAATAGTAGCAGCGTATGGCTTGATATTGATTATTGGCTATTAAAGGGTCCGATCCCCACCGGATCTAGCAAGTTTTCTGTCATTATAGTTATAATTATTCTGAAACATGTTGGACTTCGTCTGGAAATCTGGATATTAAATGCGTGGTAGAAATATCGAAATTCCGGTCACAGACGACAAAGCCTTCTACTAAACGTTTTCTCGTTTACATTTCAGTCTGTGAATCTCCGAATATCCAAAGCTAAAATAGTTCGACAGCGCACCTTATTTATATGTTATATTTCACCTTTTGGCGTTTTTGGCAAACTTTGAAACTATGTACATAATTAAAACCGTTACCTTCTTTAAGTCCCAAATCCAAACTCGTAATATTTGGCAAAGGACCCACTGGACCTGAAAAGAGAAAGTAAATCAAAGATTAATAAGAAAATCGCAGCCATTTAGAAACTTTCCTTAGAGTAAAGGGTGCGAAAAGCGTTTGATCTCTCGAGATTTTATTTCGCTATCAACATTCACTTGACTTCACTTAATGACGCCATAAGCTTTGAAATACTTTTTATTAAATGATATTGTTAAAAGTCGTAATTTATTACATATATGCTAAGACTTTATGAAAAATCACTTTTATAAACTTTAAAATGGTTTCATTTAAGAAACTAATGTGCATCATAAGTAATACACAAAAGGGTATCTCTTATATTATAAACTACATTACATGTATAATAATAGTACGAGGCTACAAATCAAAGAACTGATTGTTACAGCTCCAGTGAAATGAGAACGTAATAGTTGTTTCTGCTCTAGATGCGACCGGTATGAGAGTGATTCCAATATCAAAGCCTTCACTCACTTTCCTTTGTAGCATCGCGGCATACTTTTTGACCTACACCTTTTTAAAAAATGCTTAAAAGTTTCTCTTTCCACCAAAGCGATATATAAATCGTCAGATTCCTTGTTCATTGAAATTTCTTGGAACATAACTCTATATAAAGAAGATTACCAAAATTATAACCCTTTTTTAGACATCGCCGTCGTCTGGTAAAGGATCGTATCCAGTTGGTGATATCTTTTATTGAAATGTCTATATTTTTATCACGAAAGGGTTATAAGAATCGTTACGATAAAGATACGTCTCGTTACGTCAGCTTAAGCACACTAACGCAAACGGCACGGTCGAGTGCCACCGTTGGCAGCCATCTTTTCGACCAACGTTTACTAATATGGCCATGCAATTTACGTAACAATTCACTTTTATCTTCAACTGATCAGAAATGGTTAGATCAAGTGTTATCGTTAGTGTATATACGCGAGTAGTATACAAATAAAACATTGTTTAAATTAGTAAGAAACAGATGGCGCAAGCGAAGGAGGCTTTGACATTAGGGACGCCGTCAACTCCGTAACGATGGCTACGAAGCATTCGATAAGTCCAGTCGAAATAAAAATGAGTTAGTAAACATATTTACAATGTGCCTTTTGCAAGTCAATAAAGCATCGATTTTTGACAGTTTCGAAAATGTAGCCTCTGATTACAAATTATAATTTTATTTCTCTTTCATTCGGATCATGGTAAGAGTGCACACGAGTGAGGTTATCGTCGCCTTTTTAGTTTCCTGGAGTATTACATTTCAAGATATCGCATGTCCGTCGGTCACTTACTAGCACTGGCACACGACCTCGCCCTTGGACCTTGACTTAACTGCCAGTCTATTGTCGTGTGTTAAATATTTTCGATCCTCTCATTTCGCTTTAGTCACGTTAAAACTATTCAAATTTTAGAAGTGACTAATATTAAATGCATCTCAATTTTTTTTAATAATAAACATCAGTCGTTAATTTAGCTAACAAAAATAGATGAGTTATTAAGTGGACTATCTCTAGTGGATGCCCATGGGCACAATTAGCCGTGTCGTGATGAACCGTGAGCTCATTACACGCTCGTATGCGTCCTGTTAACGGTGATTAACTTACGCGGTCATATTTAGGGACAGACTTAAATACATCAGTGACATAGACTAAATAACTAACACCAGGTCTTGATAGGATTTCAAGTTGAGAAATCTATCGGAGATAAGGGATAAGGGGCGGTACAAAGTTTCTTTAGGTCTTGCTATACTCATTTGAAATAGGTGAATATATTCTATTAGAGCCATTAATAAATAGCTTCACATGCCTGCAATTGGATCAAAATTATAATTATTTAACTAAATGAACCTGTTATTTCAATGTAAATAAAAATAAAAAAATATATAATTTATGAAAATATAATAAAAGAAAACACATAAAATATAAATTTTATTATAGTTCAAATCCCATAAATCAACTAACACCATTGTGATAACAAACATACAAGTAATAAAGCAATCATAGTTTGCTCAGTAATATTATTGGAAATTATGTTTTTACTACGTTTTTATAGCTTTAACAGAAACGTCGTAAATGAGTCAATATTTGCTCAAATGACATGTTTGTTTACGAACATGCTTATCGATATTAGTATTAATTGATATATTCATATATTCCAGTAGATTTGTGCATGTATTTGTGCCCTTTACAATAAAACGTAAGAAATGCGTTTTAATTTAATATTGTTAGTCAACGCGTGTTCCGTATTGCAGCTAAACTTAGCGGAACTGAGGATAAGACGAGTCACGTAGCGTATTTTCGTACTATTCTAACAAATTCCAAACTTAGTATATAAGGTTTATATATTTATTAATACATAATGGAGTAAGAATCGTGTGCTACGGCGTAGCGTGAGCTACGTGTTCTTAGAATATTCTAGAGGATAATATAAAATACCAAATAGTGGCATAGTTGTATTTATTTAGGCAGAAAAGGTTTTCCCATCCGGGGTTTAAACTATTCTCAGCTAATTAAAAAGTAAAAAATATCTTATATATTAATTAAGTCTATCATACTTCATGTACTCGTCACAGCCTGAGTTATCGTACAATTTGGTAGATATATTGGTACGAGGGTGAGAGATACAAGGTGACACGGGTGCGATCGATAGGCCTTCGCCCCGCTTATTATCCCCGAAACTAAGGTTTTGCAATCGTTACATGCTTGTTTACTGTGTCCAATTTCTTTTTTGATCCAATAATTTATATTGATTCTTGGACTTATTAATGTATGTATGTTTTTTGCAGCAGAATTGAAGACGCATAACGAAATATATATCGTAATGATCTAAACGTATTTTTGTAATTTTATATATATTCTTTATTTATACACATAAGCACCAATCTATATATTTTTAATTTCCATGTCAACACAGTAAGTGTAATCTACTATGCACTGTTACCCAGTCACGTAACTTGGCGCCGCAGTGTCAATAGCTGGTCACATTAATTACTGCATCATAGCTTTCCTCTAGAATGTATTTAGCAAGAAACACAATTTTCCTGCTCCTGTTAGTTACAACGAACAGTAATTAAGGTAATAATGTTTCATAATTATCGGCGCCTGTCGTTGCCATGGTGCATATTTATTACATTTAGTAAAGCACTTGATATACAATAAAATAACTTTACCACTCTACTCTAACGTGTCGGATGCTTTACGATTTTCTAGCTGGACGGCAAGCCTTGTTGTGCAAAATATTGATAACTAGCTGTCCCAGCAACAAAATTTGTTTCCTAATCTAAACTGTAGCTTTTTTGTACAATTTTTAAAATCAATTAATAACCCTCAAAGATGAATATTGTCGCTGTGAGTTCCATATTTACCACCTTTTCTTGGTCGCAGCGTGATGTTTAATAGCCTAAAGCCATTAATATACGAAATAAAGACAGATAAATAAACTGAAATATATCACGACTCTTCCAACCTGATATTACAAGTAGATTGATTATTAGGTAGTAATATAATAAATAAGTAGTATAATACGTATAGCTCATTTTACCGAAATAATGCAATATTCCCTATCCGATTGGGAAGCAATATCCAAAAAAAAACAAATAAGTCGTTCGAGCTCAAAGAAGTGTCCTCAACATAAACCTGTATCGATCTGAACTTCGGCTAGAACTCTTTGAGTAAAACACTTGAACATCCAAACGTCAATCGATAGGAGGACAAAGTGTTGTACTCCACTGTGGCTGAGCTGACGGCGATAAGGCGGCAGCACAAACCTCACGTCTAGCACATAATACGCACTTCAGAGGACGAGTTGCTTCGAAGCAAAGCCGTGATAGTGAACGACTTGTTATAGACGTTTCATTGTATGTGTTTTGTAAGGGCAAGAAATACCGTTCAATCTACTCGCACAAAGTAGAACCAATTATATCTACAGGCAAGTAGATAATTTGATTCGTTCGTCCTAGCGCACTTTATACATTGTCAGGAATGTTTAAACGCAATTATCTCTAATCTACATCTGTCTTCTAATTCAACTTCTTATCTCTTAATACTGATAAAAACAATATAATTAACTTTAACAAATAATATAATATATGTATAATATGTATGTATAATTCAGACTCTTTCATTGAAAATGACTTTATTTTATTTAAGGGCATACGCTTACTTTTTATAACATTTCCGCGATCATACATTTAAGATATTCTCTTTTTTTAATAATAAGTCTCATTATTTTAACTACGGCCCGACGTTGCGGATGCTTTGCAGCAGTCGTGGTCACGAGGGTAATTCCACCTACGGCTGCTGCAAAAAAAGTGTAAATGTGTACTCTCCCGTAAACTACAGAAAGTATATAATAAGTCTCGATAACATTATAGCTAAAATCGAATCTTAATTTCTTGACTAAAATTACTCATTGATATGGCTAGATTGTTATATGAAGTAATTTGCCTCATTAAGAGACATTTCATACTTTTTAATTAAACAAACACATTGAAAGGTGGAAAACAAAGAAATCCGTGCACCAAGACCGATTAGTGAACAATCGACAATAGTGCAATTACTCACGCGCTCGCGCACCGCGTCCGCCGTATCCACCGAACTAACGACAATTTCACACCGGTGACCTTTGCCTCTCTTCAATCTACCTCCTTATATCTAACAACTAATTTAGGTCCGACCGAAGCAGTGCCGTAGATAAAATCGATAAGTCCGCCGCGTGTCTTTTTTGTAATTTTATTTAAAAAAAAAAATTTAAAACTTTAGGAATAATTGTGAGTTAGGTAAAGATTATCATGCAGCATGTTGGTCACCGACTTGCAATTCATTCAATGGTATTTACTTCAAAATGAACGCGAGTAGTCATCGGTAATTCTAATCGGTAAACATTTCTTATGTGCCGAATCTTATATCGCGTTTGGCCTTTTCTCGTTGTCGTTTGCAAATTTGTCGATATTTGGAGACGATCGTTGATGAGATATCGTTACGTACCGCTCTCTGAGTCACGCGAGGAATGCTGCCGGTCCGGCTCCATCTCCCCTACCCCGCCGCCTCTGTCTAGTAAGTATGGGAATCGCATACCTGCCTCGCCACTCAGCAGGATCATACTAATTCGCGGGAAGCGAAACCCTTCTATGCAGAAGCGTGAAACTAGACAGTCTGAGCCGTTACTACAACTACGAACTATAGTAATTACTTGAACGTTGAAATGATGCAGAAATAAAAAGGGTCAAACAACAAATATCTAATATAAATATTGAATAACGTTTAAGCATTACATGTTCAAATATCAAAAACTAATTGCCCTCGGTGTAAAATGTAGAAGACACGTTAGCTATTTTAATGGCTACAAATAAAATCCAAATGACTCATCACCTGTATACCTAATATGACGTAAAAAGGCATATCTGTAAGCACAACGGACGACCTAGATTAAAAATAGTCCAAACAAACAAGTTGAATTTTGTCGTAGTTGTAACTTGATCGCTCGACTCGTGTATAATATTTTTTGCTGATTGGATTTTCTATGACCAAAACGGCATTTAAGCAAATTGTTTTTATAGGCCAAAACTTCGCGTCTCTTTTATACTGGAAATTCCATTTAACTAATGTAACCATCAAACTAACGGGAACGGCTATTTTGCTCGTCGTTATATAAACTTAGCAATATACGGTACATCTGTTTATTTCTAAATTTTAGTCTAAACTTCGGAATTATTAGGGAAACTAATTTGAAAAAGCATTTTCCACACTTCCACCTGTGAAGTTTTTTGTTTTCAGTAAATTGAAAAACTTAAGGTGAAGGTTACCAATTATTGATGTAAATTATAATAGTTAGTATTATGTAACTTACCAGCTTTTGAGAGAGTGGAATGCAACGCCACTAAGAGATATACGCAGTACCTCGGCGAGCACATGTCGCCTTTTAATCTAGAACAACAAACGATACAATTAATTTCGACTTTAATAATAATAAATAAAAATATAACTTAATCTGTAGTGGTCAGTTGCTATAATAATAATACCTCTATAAATTGATAATACCTTTAAGTCAGGCAAAGGAATTAAAAAATAACTACCCGCCCGGGATACAACTATTAGCACGGGGAGCAAGAATGCGCTAGCGCAGGCTTCAGCGCAAAAAACACAGATGCACAGGTCACTGACCTCGCTAGACGAGATACTTGACGTAACTCGTTCAATTGCATACAGTTTTATAAATACAGAACCTACTTTCCATTCTCGATGTTCTTCAGAAACTTGTTTTTATTTATTTTGAAAAATAGACAAAAATGTTTGCGTAAAAAGGCTTTTTGTCCATTTCGAGGTTTTGTATACAATATCTTACAAGGCTGTGGTCTTCTACAAGCGCTAAAAGACGCGTTTAACCTCGACATTGAAGTTGTTTTGAATCACTGCAGAGAACATTTGACACTAAAGCGTTACATATCATCACGTATTGGGCATACGAGGTCCTTCATCTCTCAATTGATCACAACGAGCATTCATCTTTCACTTTCAAACTGTCGCGCCTCATGAACCCCGACCGGATCGAACGCGCGACCCATTTATCATAAATCTGATATGTTGTGGCACAGTTATTTCACGATATGCTGATGTTCCAGTGAAAGATGCGCTATTGGTATCATTCTTCTCATCATATCCAAGTAAATCTTCTCATACTTATAAGAGCTTTAAATGCCTATCATTTAAGTCGAGCAGTAAAATAATATAAATTTTAATAATTCTTAAAGTGTTTGAAATAGAAGCGTCTCTTCGCTCTGGCATAGCGCGTCAGTGTAAAACCGACCTTACAGTGACCGCGTGTCCGGTCAATCATTCAATCGTGTCAATTGAATGATGGTCGTGGATTCGACACTCGCCCCACCGGCTTCAGTGTGAAAGTCTAGCCAATTCGATTAGTTCGATTAAGGTCGCTTACACTTGTTGTTAGACTGGAAGAAATTTATTTGTATGATCGTATGTCTGCAGCGATCCTGATAATGCTCGACCGTTGAAGGAAGCGAGATAAAGTGGTGCTATTTATGGCTTAAGTTGCTACGGGATGCGACTGCACCCAGACTGATTCCAGAGTCGTTATCTCGATCGCTCCTGGAATAGATCCTTAATCGTGCTAATACGCCTCATGCGAGGCTCGCGACACTTTTTGCAGCGCCGAGCTGCAGTTTATAAAGACAAATCTGTAAGAAGATTCTACACGGGATAAAAATAAAGAATTTATATTAGGTGTGGAATCGTGATTTCTATTAATAGATTCTCTGCTTAAACGTAACGTAATGTACGACAGTAAATAAGGTGCTAAGTAGATATTTAAAACAACATCAACCGAAGCGACTTAAGGCGATTACTAATTATTACAATGAATTCAAATATAGTTATTATTTTTTAAATTGACCGCCCGTGCCGCCAAAGGTCATTTGTCTAGCGTATAACATAGTCATGTTCATAGGAATCTGTCATTTTTCAGGGATTCGAATCGCGGACATATAATATCGATCCGCGAGAAGAACACAGAAAAGGGAGAAACGTGGTTTCACTCTTTTCCGCATAACAGAGAAAGCAAGAAACCCTCATAATACAGTATATCAAGCCATGATTAACGTCATTACGGACGTAAAATATTTATGGCACACTAAAAGTGAAACCCGACGCCATTGAATGCGTCGGCCACATTAAGAATGAATATAAACGTATGTTTGTCTGTCGCAGTCCCAATAGCAGAACGCGAAAGTTGCCGATTTCACGCTATTGTTCGATAACATAACTATGTTATGCGTTACGTTACGTGACTATTTATGTGTTTTATTGAACCGTTAAACTCTTATAATTGTGGTATAGTAAATGCCAAAATGAGTCGGAAGAGACTAATCTGAAAGAAACTATTTTTCTGAATTAAAATTATTTAACATGGATCTGTCCAAAATAGTATTCAAACGATGTTAAAACTACAATAATTTATTAGATAAAATAAACAATGATAAAAAATTAATTAACAATAAAAAAATCTGTCTGTCTGTCGCATAAACGCGAGTAGCACACATCTAATATCTCTAATCTAATTCTCAAATAAGTTTAACTAAAATACATCGCGTTTTAAACCGTTAAAGTGTTATATTTAAATTTTTTTTTTAATCAGATTCGGCAAATAATGTTTTCCTTCTAATAAAGTAATATCCTACATTACTTTATTAGAAGGAAATATTACAACATAAGAATTTAAAAAAAGTCAACATAATTTAACATTTTTTTAAACGTTTGAAGTTTGTGAATCTATATAATTTTTAAAAGTAGCATTATGAACTGTAATAAATTTAATGCATCTCTAACTGCGTGTATTCAATCTAAAATACTTTTTCAATTCGAGTTTTTTAATGGAATGCGCGCCCAATCAGACAAAGAAAAAAAGGAAAAGTACCGGTGGAGGCAGTGCGCCCGGCGCGTTACTTTATCGACGCTCCTTTTATTAGTTTTTATCATTTTCCAATCTCGCGTTCAGATTACGTTGCGGTCCGCGACCTCGTTTGCAATCTCTATACCTAATTGAAAACACTGTTGAAATCGTATTCGCCTCACAATAAAAGGACTCAGTAATCCTTGCTGCTCAGTCGAGCCTTGGACTTAGTCAGTCCTATTTGATAGGAAAATCGAAATAGATCGAAGATCGAACCGTTTCCCTTGAGGCGTATGAAACGGACACTGAAATGTCTGTTTCACTGTTCACAGCCGGTAAATTATCATACTTAGTCCTGGATCAGGCTTGACCGGACCGAAATATTTCGAACTTCTATTCCTACTATTTTTGTTAAATACCTACCGCCCAACACGTAGGTAGGTTGGTTTTCAAAAAGACATTTCAATGCAATTGAAAAACTATTCGCAGTCTAAAAAAATATATAAATGGAAAATAGATATGAGAAAAAAAGTAATATTATGTACTGCTTACTACAATATATCTTGTAAATTACTAGCAGAGTGAATTAAATTAATATAAGTCGGTAAAACACAAAGCCGCTGAACAAACGCTCCACGCCATTTGACTACAAATAATCATACAGGCAACAAATATTTACAGAGACGGGAAACTCGACACGGATGTTCAGATAAACAAACAGCTGTATGTGTATAGCTCATATGCTTATTAGGCAACAATACATCGGTAATATTCACACCACCAGATAAAGATGAGACGAAAATCGGATTTATCTGAAATTATTACCGTTGCAGCGAATTAATTCTGGCGGTAGCTGCAGTTAAGGCAAGGTCCGTTCGCGAAATCTTTCGTTAAGTTTTAATATCGTTTGAATACAATTTTGGACAGATCCATGTTAAATAATTTTAATTCGGAAAATTATACGCGAGCAATGTAACAATCAATCGACTTCAATCAATCAAAAAATCTTCGATAATCTATAAATAATAATACGTATAATAGCACACTGATAAAAATTTGTCCAATACATCGTAAGCGCCGCAACTGACAGTAGCAACCATCGGCGCATGCGTCAGTCGTTAATTTGTTTAATATTCAAACGACGCACTCAGAAGCGTCACGCTTGTTCTCTACTTGGTTTTGTAAGGCACATTGTAGACAAAGAGTCCCGAAACTTTGTATAGATGAAAATAAATTTAAACTGAAACGCAATATGTTACTAAAGATACTATCCCACGTTGTTCCCCGAGTCAATGGTCATATCAACTGCTACGGCTATGCACCCGAAAATTGGATAACGATAGTATATCGTGTTTTAATTTGTTATTTTTTTATTAAACATCTACTAAGATTGAAAACAAATAAATCGAAAGAGCACATTTCACAGATCGCTCGACACGATTCACAGAACAGTATGAAGTGGACGTCGGTTCAAATTCCGCAACTATAATGAAATCTCCTCGTTATGGTCTACACAGATGTGTATCTTACTGTCAGTCTCAAGTTTGTTGTTTTCACCAGTTCACTGCCGGCTCTTAGAGTGCAATTGTACATTCATAATGTGACGTCATCTACTCAGAATATTACCTAAGTCTTGAGTGTGAACGGAATGTGATGCACTGGACTTATGAATGATTCACGTGTGTAGCTTAGAAATGGCAAAACGCCTAAATAACGGCCAATCTTTACTTACTTTTCCAACGAATGGCGTAATTAATATTTTACTATTTACGAGACAAAATAGACATGACCAGTAAAATTATTATTATTTAGGGCAGTCTTCGCTTATTCAAACGTCAAAACGGCTTATCTTCGCCTTATTAGCATGTTTTCCAAACTCCGATGCAATAAAGTTTCGCGTAAAATGCTTTATGTGTGTATTATAATTTTTATCTAGAAGATGATCAAGGCTCGATAGTACGACATAATTGCATTAAAGGTATCTTGAACCGGTCCTTGTAACTTGTACTTATGCCAAGTATGAACTCGAATGTGGAGAAAAAAAGATCAACAAAAAGTGATGCGATCATCCGATGAGTCAGCTCATTGGTCGCTATCGGATGGCGTTACGTGAGATGAAGTCAGTGTGGTTTTATTATGCTTTGAACTACGTTTAAGTCTGCTTCAGTGCTCGAGCGGTCAGCCCGTTCGATTCCTGATCATGAGCGTCAGGGTTCGAAATATTAGTTTTGGTTTTTTAGTAGTCAGTTAAAACTTCAGCACTGAGTTGTGCGAATTTATAGAATCTTTCTAAAGTGTTTTTTTTTTCGGTTCATATTTTTAATAAAAAAACATACAATTACCGTTCTCCTGTGACCACGGTTCCTATCCTCCTAATCCTCCTATCTACTAATTGTATATTAAATTAACTTAAATGTTTCGCGACCAAAAAATGAGTTTTTCGTTTAAATGTTCACTACTCACGTAATATATAGACAATGGTTAATAGATGTACAACTAATAAGTATTAAAAGCAAGT